GCACGTTGCCTGGTGCCCAGGACCTGCTCATTACTTACAGCCTGATGTTACTGTTGCACAATTAATGACCATCTTGATCAAATCAGTGGTGTGATGACATCTCGAAGGCTTTAGACATGGCTGCAGCATGGGAGGAAAGCAATCCTGGCTTGGCTGAGGGCAGAGGCCCAGAGGCCCGGGGTCTCAGTCACCAATGGTCAGAGGCTCTTGGGGCAGGTTGGCAGCCCCCTCTGAGAGCTGAGGCATCCTCAGCTGTAGCGAGCGGGGGTGTTAGCGGGCGACCGCTAAGGGAGGGCCCAGCCAGCATTGTTGGCCAGAACGGAAGTCTCATCTGAAGGCTCGAATGGGTGGGAGTGACCTATTTCCTCACGAGGAGGGGAAGAGAGCAGGGTCATACATAGGCACGGACACCGGGAGGAGGGCTGATCGTGGGCCATCTTCAAGGCTGCCCACCACACAGGGGATGAGCCCCTGTGGACTGGGGCACCCTCCAACTTTCCAGACTTCCAGGCTATGCCCACTGCCTCAGGCTGGGGACTCTCTGAGCCAGACCGACCAGCTTCCAGACAGGTGAGTCTTTCTCCCAGGAAACTCTGTCCAGTTTGTATTGCCACACAAAAGGGCCAAACACTGGACCCTTTTTCCTATCTCTTTCCACAGTCCTGCCCAGCACTTCTTCCTTATGCCCAACATTCCTCTTGGGGTTCTCACTCAGTTGTACCCGTAGGGTTACCCCACAGCCCCTGGAAAGGGTGACCCCCGAGTTCCAGCTCCTGGGACCCAGGGGTGGGTACAGAGCTGGGAGAGACCACCCTGGACTGGGCTCAGGCATTGGGGTGGGGAGACAGACAGGCTGCCTCCCCTTTCCAGAGCCTGTGGGCTACAAGGGTGATTCTGAGGCAGCCTCTGACCCCTGCAGGGGGCAGGCAGTAGACCCATCATGGGCCCTGGATCTGGGCGAAGCTAGGAGTGACAGAGACCCCCGGTGGGAGAGACCTCCCATGCCTGCAGAGCCTACACCGGGTATGCTGACTCCCTGGCTGGTGGCCAGACAAGATGGGGAGGAGGTGGGAAGTCCTCATCCTAAGTGCCCCGATTCCAGTCCCCTTCTCAGTCATTCTTCATCTCATACTTCTTATTGGGTGCCAAGGAGCACCCGGGGACAAGAAGTAGGTTTTATTTTATGTCCCAGTTCTACCTGTTCAGTACCAGCTGTCTCAGGCACTGGGTCCAGGATTCTGAAGCTAAACTGGGGCTCCGGGGAGAGAGTGCTGGCAATGACTGTGTGCAGTGGCCCAGGGAGGAGGGGATGGAACAGCAGCACATGTCACCTGTTTGCCACCCCTTCCCCCTCCCCGCTGGGCACTGGGAACATACAGAGCATGTTGGCCTCATTGGCCTCATTATTTGGTCCCTGTCACTGCGGGGCTCACAGCTTAATGAGGGTATATCCATAAATAAGCAATTAGAATCCCATGGGATAGATGCTGTGAACCCTGGGCCTATTAATTTGAATGAAACAGACTCTCAAATTTTTGGTTAAATAAACCTAGTTGAGCCATAAGCCTCTCATTGTCGCATCATGCACGTGAGAGAAAAAGCGAAGAGCCAATGCTTGTTTTTCTGATCAACAGAGATTTTTCCAAGGCAAAGATCTCTTGGGAATACAGAAGCATCAGTTACAACTTTATAACCAGAGAAATAAGTTATTGAGTAAGACAACAGATTAGAACTGTGAGGGGACAGGGGTTGGGGTTATGTTCCCTGTTCACGGCAATCGTTTCTAAAGGCTTGGGAGTCTTATCAGACTCCTTTGTTTGAAAGACATTTTCACAAAGAACATACCCATTTGGTTACTGTTGTGAATATTCACACATCCACACTGCATAGATGAAATATTCTTGTGAACATTCTCCATTTAGGATCTTAAGAAATCAAGTTCTTTTAACAGTTTTAGGGATGCAGAATGACTCTCCTTCCTTCACAGCTGCACGGGAGCAGAGACGTTTCCTATCTTTATTTTTAGAGTTCTTTTGTTAATTATGAAACTTGCAGTTTTTAGGGCAGGCTTCAGCCTAAAATTTCATTTCTCGAGTTTCTTTTGATTTTCCTGTCAGCAACCAAGAAAGACCTAAAGAGGATTTTTCTTAATAAGAGCAAAGTAAGGTGCATACGGTGGGTTTCTCGATGGGCCTAGATGGGCCCACCAGGAGGAAGTGGGGTGCCCTTATAAGGCACTGACAAGCCTGGCCAACAGACCCTCCCCCCACCCCACCCCCACCCCTGGGCATCCCGTGGAGGTTTTGAGGACAAGGGTGCGCAGGTTCCGCTCACGTTCCTCTGAGGTGCTCTGCCTTGGCTGGGAGGATGAGGAAGGTGTGGTGGGCTGTTGGCAGGCCCGTCCAACAAGCCGGCACATGGCAGGGAGTTTGAAGAAAGGTGGACCAATGAGCTGCAACAGCACTGAAGTTCAAACATCAGTCGTCAGGGCATCCCCTTCCCCTTATGTGCTGGGGACTCCCTAGGCTTCTTGGTTCCAGTTCAGGTGGAATGTGTGTGAGGGGCTGGGACATGACCAGAGGGTTCCTGACATTGGTCTTTCTCCCTCAGGTGGTTTACAAGAGCCGAACCCCACCACGAGCAGTAGCTTTGGGGACCCAGGAAGCTCTGAGTTCAAGGTGAGAGTCAAAATGTTCTGGGCAAAGGCCCTCTCAGATTGGGGATAGCAGGGATGGGGTCTGCCTTGAAGGAGGCTATTGGGGGGAGGTGATGCCACCTCCTGTAGGCTGGTAGAAGAAGGGGCCCTCCCTGAAGCACCGTTTACACTACATACAGTAGGCTTAATGAGTTCAGGAATCAGGCAAGGGCTGTAATGGAAATGAGGTCCACTGGGACAGCCTCTGAAGTCTCCAGGGTCACTTGGGGAAAGTGGCCCTGGCATGGGGATTCCCTCACAAGCCTGGGTCCAAATGCTCTTCCTTCCCAGGACCCGGCCCAGAGAGGAGAGAAAAGACAAGCCCGACCTACAACCCAAAGGCCATCCACAAGCCTATGGGGGAGGAAGCTCTTGTCTCCAAGACCCTCAGGCCTGCCCTCCCAGGGCCTCTCAGAACCCCAAGATCCCCCTGAGGGGCTGGACTGGAGCCTGGGCCAGGAGAGGGCAGAACTTCAGAAACTGCTGAGGATTGAGATTCCTCAGAGGCAGAGAGAGCAGAAAGAGCGTCCCAGGGGTCGGACAGGGGAGGCCCCCAGGGGGGAGGGCAAGGAAGTTCTGAATGAGAGAGAGAAGATACACCAGGGTCAGAGTGGGGAGGCTACTCAGGCTCTGAGGGAGGAAGCCTCCCTGTATCCCGGGGGAAAGGCTCCCCAGAGTGAGAGGAGAGAGTGTCTTCAAGGTCAAAGACGCAACAGCCCTGAGTGCCAGAGAGAAGAGGTCCTGCAGGAGCCGCAGAAGGAGACTCAGGGTCGGGAAGTGAAGACCTTTGGGGCTTCCCCAGGCCGAATCTCACAAGCCTGGGGTATGGCCGAGGGAGAGGCGCCCACACTGCCCCCGGAGGAAGGCGGCTCCCTGGGAATTTCTAGGGATTTCTGCAGGTCCCCGGGAGAACAGAAGCCTCAGCCTGTGGGGAGAGAGAGCCCTGGCTCCGGGGAAAAGACCACCCAGCTGACGCAGGACCAAACTGACGGCCCAAAGCCGGCCGCAGGAGACCCCAGGGCCGCCCAGGAGGGAGCGCGGCCTCCCCTTCCACCGCCGAGGCTCCCAGGCCCAGGGGCCGAGGCGCTAGCGGCCCCAGGTATCGGGGGCTCGGGCGCGGCGGAGCACCCCGGGCCGGTGCGTGACCCACATGAGTTTCAGGACCTGGAAGGAAGCCCGGGCGCGGCGGAGCAGGTGCCCGGCGGTTCTGCTAGGCTCCTGGGCACCGTCGGGGAGCTGAGGGGTGGCGCGGAAGCCCCCGGGGCCTCGAAAGCCGCGTGGCTCAGGCTCCCGGGCCGGGAGAAGGTGTCGGCGGCCGTGAGCGCGGCGCACAAGGAGACCGCCCTGCAGCGGCTGCTGGAGCTGCACGGCGCGGCCAGGCGCCGGCAGCGACAGGCCCGCGAGCAGCAGCGGCTCTGGGTGCGTATCGCGCCGCGCCGGGCCAGCCTGGGGCACGAGGGGCATGAGGAACACGAGGGGCGGCCGCGTGGCCGCTGACAGCCGCCTCCCGCAGGTCTTGGAACGCCTCCGGCTCGCCTGGAACCGCCACTGCCGGGTGCACCCTCTGGGGCCCCCACCCAGCCCCGCCCAGCTCCCGCCACAGGCAAGACTCCCGGGAGAAGACGGCGGGGCCCCGGCGATCCTGCCCGGGCGGGGGTGGGTGAGGGCGCCTCCCGGGTCCCCTCCATCTCGCACCGGCACCGATGCGGACCTACGGCGGGAGGGGTGCGTCTGCCGGGTGCTGCCTCCTGCTGGCTCCCTCGGGCCCGCGGGGCGGGCGCCCGGGGACTCAGCGCTCGGCCCCGACGCAGGAGGACGAGGTGGGGCAGCGACGGGCCTTGCGGGAGCAGCTGCAGCGAGGGCTCCAGGAGAGGACCTGGCGGCTGCGGGCCATAGGGGCCAGGTGAGGGGGAGGCCGGGGACGCTGATGGGGCGGGGGTTGTTCCCTTTTTCTGGCCTCTGGGATGACAGGTCGCTCTCACCCAGGAACACCCAGAGCTTCCAGCAGCTACTGTGGCCTCCTGGCGCTGAGGAGCCCTTGCCTGGAGAGGAGCGCCCACCCTTCCCAGCCCCCTTGAGTCGTTGCTGAATCCTCAAATGGTTGATGAAAGAGATGGGGTTTAAGGAAAAAGCAAGCCAGCAAACTGCAGGCCAGCAAAGGCAGAACAGAGGTGGTTCCAAGAAAGGCCCAGAACTTTGCCTCAGGGCCTGGGAGGCCAGACACACGGACACACACAGCAGCTTCGGCCCCACCAGGAGGCATGTTATTTCTTCTTCCCTCGCTAAGTCCACTGCCTGGCCACCGTCAGAGAGCCAGGTCCTGAGGGTCAAGCAGCGAGAAGGCCCCATTCTTTCGGAAGAACGATTCAATGCGGCACATCTTACAGGAGACCAGTTCTTGCTTCAGTGGGGGGCCTGCGAAAAGATGTCGGAGGCCAGGAATGGGGCCTGGGGAAGGGAACTTGCGGAGCGTGGGAGCCCTGCCTACGGAGTCCTAGGAATCTGCCTGTATTGTATCCACTTTGGAAGTGTGAAGGAATAAAAGGTACTGTTGAGGAACACTGGCTGTGGGCAAACAGGGAACCAGCTGGGGGTCCAGACCAGCAGGAATGGTCGAACTGGCCAGTCTGCCACGTGCCATCGTTTGCCCCACCTCAGGCTCCTCCACAGAGCAGGTGGCAGGACACCCAGCACTGCTGGTCATGGGGACAAAGCTAGACGGCTCTGTGAGAGTGTTTCCTTCTAACTCCTGCTCTCCTGGGACATGCTTCCTGCTTTTGGGAAAATTCCTCTTTTCCCCTTCCCCTTTAGGACCCTAAGGAAAGTGGGGGAAATTTTTAGGCAAAACATCAGCTGTGTTTATCCCCAGCCATCCACCTTTTTCGCCCAGGCACTCAAGCACGCGGGTGGGCCGGGGGGCGACAAAGACGACACACATGGACACACACGGAAGGCGACCCATGACTGAGCAGCCTCACTTGCAACTCAGGAGCACATAGAGCAAAGGACACGGCCTCACCCAGCAGTCCTGCCACGCTTGCGGGCATGTTCCCTTTCCTGTGCCATTTAACTCTGCATCTCCAGCTACACCACTGCCTCCCCCCTCTCCTCCAGGTGGACCACCTTGACTCTCAGCCTCACAGAGAAAGCAGACTCGGTCCAGATGGACAGCCTTCCCACCAACATCATCTCCCTAACCCTCTATGTGCCCCTGTCTCTCATGTCACATTCCAGCTCCTGGAGTTCCCCGGGTAAGCCCACCCAACCTCAGGCTTTAAATAGCACCTACATCCTGCTGACACCCAAACTTGCATCTTCGGCTCTGACCTCCTTCCAGAGGGGGGACCACCGTACACAGCCGCCTCGTTGGCCCTTCCAGCGCGGCCAGGGCCCACCTGTCTTCACACACCCTCCAGCCCTGCTCCTCCCCATCTTCTTTGTCCAGGCGCTTGGGCCCAACACCCGGGCTTTGCCATGGCCTCCTTTCCCCTTCTGTCATTCAGTCCGTCAGCAGGCTTCATGACTCCTCCTCCAAAACATAGCCTGAATGTCCCTCGGCTCTACTGCTAATCACCCTCGCCCAAGCCATTGTCCTCTCCTGCCAGGGTGACCCAACAGATGCAGACCTCAGCTGCTAGAGTTGACTCTTTCCCAGGAAAGGCCGTTACTTACAGAATAGTTAGTACCCTACCAGTACCATTCACAGGCTTAAAACACTGTGGCTTCATCTCCCACTTGGATAAAATCCAACTTCCTCCTTTGTGTCACTTAACTTCTGTTAGGTCCCCAGAGAGGCCTGTCTGGACAATCCAGCTTAAAGCCTCACCCATCCCTTGCCATCTCCCCCATCAGTCCCTAGTCTCATCGTGGAACTGGTCCTTCTCTAATGGGTCCTTTGTCTTATGTTCACGGCCTGCCCCCCCCCCCCCAAAATGGACACCCCCCAACCACGTCTCGCGTGCCTAGTGCTGACAGCATGGCCTGGCTCTCAGGGCAGGGGCTCCGTGTTCACAAGGGGAATGATTTTGGAGAGGTTGGGGCTCACCCAGCTGCCAGCCATACGTGAAGCTGGTGGTGATGGGGAAGAAGTAGCGCATCTCTGGCATGTCCAGTTTTCGGGTGTTGAGGTAGCGATAGCGCCCCTGGAAGTCGTGGGAGATGCCTTCATACAGCAGAGCCTGGGTGGCGGGCGGGACCGGGTACATTTCTGACTGAATAGTAGGGGTCTCCAGCGCAGGGCTGGGGGCCTTGGTTGGCACCGCTTTGGGGGCCGGTGGAGGTGGAAGTGGGGCTTTGGGGTGCAGGGTGGGCAGTTTGAGGGGTAGGCGCGCTGCAGCCTTAGCCTTCTGCTTGGCCTTCACCATTGTCCCATACTTGCGGTGCCATTCACAGCGCAACATCTTCTCCCGCAGATATTCCTCCTTCCAAAAGTTCTGCCGCAGCGTATCCATGTTGAGCTGCCGTGACATGGTAGCAGGGGAAGGAGCGGTACCCGGCTGCCTGTCCCCGAGGGGTGAGCAATAGCAAGCATAGTCATTCTGACAGCAGGGGCCGCCACAGGCAGTCACCCGGCAACCAGGCCTCACCTCACACAGGGCCAGGGTTCTACTCGCCCTGCCTGGAGCAGACCTCGCACGCCTCACTCCAGAGGCAACCTCAGGCCAGGGCCCGTCGGCTAAGACCCTTGATCTCCAAGCCTCTTGCAGGACCCAGGCTCAGTCTAATGCCACAGGCTTCTGGGTTTCCCGTGTTTCTGCTTCCATCTGTTGGGGTCAGGTCCTTTCCTAGCCCAAGAGAGACTGAAGTCGGGGAGCCAAGGGCCTGGGCACAAGCCTTCTCCCATTCCTCCCCACCAGAGCAGGTCACTGTTGATTCAAAAGACCTATCCTTGAGTTATGACCTCCTGACACAATCTTCCTGGTCCAACTTTGCTATGCCTGTATCTTTGGCCAAACCCTTCCCAGCCCTGCCAATCTAATCCCCCCAAGGGCCTCATCCCATGCATGTCTTTTGCAGCACCCAGCCTTAGTTTGGAGAGAACCAAGAACATTACTTTTTTAATTTAACATCAACAATGACACTGTGTAACAGCACAGGGAAGAGGTAGTGGAGAGAAAACACTCAAGGCTTCCTGTTCCCTAACCAGGCTTGACTTTAATGGCAGAGCCCCAGCAACCTGGAAGCCCCTCACTTAGCCTCTTAGTGGAATGGGAAGGGGCAGGGGGCTGGGGCTCACAACTTAGAGAAGGGCTGACAGCAAGCCTGGGGAGAAGCTGCCTGGCTGTGGGGAAGGCCCTAGCGCAGGTCCTCGGCTGTGAACATGCCCCTGGCCCTGCGCAGGATGGAGTCCTTGGCGGCATCGTAGGGGTGCTCCTTGGACGGGATCTCCAGAACAGCGGGAATGGAGCGCTGGTGGGCGTCGAGCGCATGCCGCACCATCTCTGCGATGTACTGGTTGATGAGGATAATGCCAATGTCATCCCGGTTTAGAAACTGTCTGTTGAGAGAGAGGAGAGGGGATTCCAGGCAGTCCACTGGGAGGTGGTGAGGCTGGGCTGTAGAGGGGAATGGGCTTGACCCAGAAACCGCAGAGTTCAAGGGCAAAGGTTGCTAGCTAAACTCTCTCCATTCTAACCAGGATCAACTTCATTAAAAAATCTAAGGGCCCTGGCTGTCAGGGTTGGCTTCTACCTCCCCTGCTTGGAAGGCTTCCACGTGAACTGGTGCTGAAGATTAGGGCACATGCTGGCATATTCTGTATGCTACGAGGGTAAGAATATGCATGTCTGTCCCTCTATATGTACATGAAAAAAAAGCAGAAAAAGGTAAATAAGCAATTAAGTGTTTACAGGGGTAGAGAAAGGAGGTAATGAAGTGGAAAAAGACGGGGTGGGATGGGAATAAGACTTTTCAATGTGTATACCTTTTAAATATTAATTTGCAAACCACATGAATACTTTAACTTTTCAAAGGAAAACAATTTTTTTTAAGGAGGCTGATGAGACCACTAAAGGCCGTAAGGTCTATGCTGATGAGGCTGGCCGACGGATGAGAGGGGAAGTTTGGTGTGAGCCAAGAATACAGACAAAAGGAGGAAAATCATACTTTCCCCAGAGAGAGAGTCTAGACTGGCATCTCCCTTCCTTGTGATCACCCATACATTAGTTAATTAAAATATTAAAAACTAATTTTACTGAGTGCTTGCTCTGTGCCAGGCACTACAGCTGGTTAGACCTGATGATCTCTGGGTCCCTTTGGATAGAAGCATGGAAAGTTCTTGGAGTAAAATCTGTCCTTCTCCCATGGTAACTTGGGTCACTTTGCCAGAATGCTTAGAGATCAGGCCAGTTGAGGGCCTTTCATACCCCAGGCAGCAGGAACCAGTTTGAGCCTGCATCTCAGGGCTGAATGTGTAGGGAAAAACAGATGAATGTGGTTTGTCCCTGAGACTTGGCAACAGGGGCCTTAAAGAAGGGGTGAGAAAGCATAGGGGGCTGGCATTCTCAATTCAAGTCTCACTTCCTGGTTTAGGGGGCATGCCTGCATTCACACTATGAAACTATTACTCTTGTCCCAGGGCAAGAAATGAGAACTTCAAATGCAAGATCTTAGCAGAAAGTAGGACACTGTCCTAGTATCTGCTTGCTGTGCTCAGGACAATGGGAAATTCTAAGAGTGAGGGAACTGTACAAGCAAAGCGTGGACTTGGCTTAAGAGAGTTGGGACTGGGTTCAAACCCCTCTCCCTCTCTTCCAAATGGTACGTACTTTAGTAGGTAACCTCCCTGAGCTTTAGTTTTCCCACTTGTAAAGGAGAACGATAACCCCTACCTTACAGGATTGTTGTTAGCCTCTAAGGGACGTGAAAATACAAGAAACCCCGACCCCGACCCCACTGCCTAGGTGTTCCCGATGAGTGCATGGTTCCTTTAGAGGCCAATCCGCAAGAGCCGAGTGCTAGCATGGCTGGGGGCGAACGTGGGCGGAGCTGAGACCGGACCCTGGGGCGGCGCCCGTCACGAGCTCTGTTCCCCTTCTTTCCTGACACAGTCATGTGAGGATGAGGACTTGACATAGCCCGGGTTCCCCCAAGCCCCAAAAGGGAACTTGGAACACAGAGGCCTCCTCCGGAAGGGCTGCCGGACCACCTTCCTTGACCCTCGGCGTCGGGGTCTGGAAGCCCAGCGCAGCCCGGCCGCCGGGTCCCCGAGTCGCCCCCGCCTACTCTCCGCGCTCCCACCCAAGGCAAAGGGTCCCATTCAGGCCTCGCGGGCTACCGTACCGGAAAGTGTCTTCGATCTCATTGATGGTTGTATCCTTCTCCACCACCAGGAAATTAGGCTGGCGGTTCTTGTTAAGCTCCCCTATGCCACCCAGCAGGAAGCCAGTCACCGTGTCCTCGTCTCCGATCACCGCGATTAGCTTCCCCCTACCCGCCATTCTCGCAGGCAGGTCCGCGACGGCCGGGAGTCACGGATGCCCCACCTCCGCAGTGCGCCGCCTTTTCGACCGCACCTCCACCCCTAAGACATGCGCAGTTCACCACTCCGCCTCCCGGGACATGCGCATCAATAGTAAAACGGTCTCAATCTGAATACGCCTGCGCCATAAAGAGAGGCCCGAACCTGGGGACTACGATTCCCAGAAGTGCGCGCGGCAACACGGTCTCACGCAAGCGCATTCCGTCGCTGATTCAATAAACCTGTTGAGCCTCCTGCTGAGACAAATCTAGAGCCCGAAAGAGAAGGTGAGGTTTCTGTTCTCCAGGGTAATGTCCAGCTCTGTATCTTGTATGTAAGTATTTAACTATGGCACAGAGTTAACAGCTAGTACATATTTGTTTAGTGGATAAAAGATTGAACAAGTTAATCGTGACTCTGACTAGTGAGGTAGGGATTCAAGTGAACAGGCAATTACAAAGCAGTGTGTTAATTGCTAAAATGTGAGCAGGACCTGGAAGCATCCACTAAAGGGGTAACTAGCCCACTGGGCTGAGGGTGTGCTCAAAGAAGATGGCCAGAAGGATTCAGGAGATAGAAATAAGAACAAGAGGGCATCCTAGGCAAGAGGAACAGCATATGCAAAGGCTTAGTGACTAGAGGGCATAAGTGCCCTCAAGCAAAGGTAAAGAATCAGGAAGTTATCCTGAGGACAAAGTATCCTGAAGTCGCTGGAAAATGATGTCGTGAGATGTATGTTTTAAAGATAGTGCTGTCACGGTGCTGTGTGCAGAGGCAAGACTGGAAGGATACCATTGCAGTAAGAGATAATGGTGGTCTGAACTCCGGTTGTGATAGTGAGAATGGGGAGGAGGAGATGGAGTCAAGAGCTATTTAGAGCAGAATGGACAAAACTGGTTTTCAGATTGAATGTGTTTGGGGATTGAAGCAGAGACCCAAGTGACTCCCAGGCTTCTGGCCATTGCAACTAGATGGATAGCAGTAACATCCCTGAGAGAGTGAGCTCTGTGAGATACAGACTGAAAGGGAAAGGGCCACTCTTTCCTCCTCCATTTTAGCCAACAGGCGTCCTGGTGTTAAGCGTGTGGTTTGTGAGTTTAGACTGCTTGAGACACCCAGATGGTCTCAGCTGGTGGTTATTTGTATGATAGGCTTGGGGCTTGGGCACACCTGGTTTGAATCTTGGCCTCGCTACTTAGAAGTATGATTTTGGATTTATCACCCAAATTTCTCAAGGCCTCAAGTTCTTCAGATAGTAGTATGTTCACCCCCTTGATAAGGCTGTTAGGGTTAAGTGACTAGAGCCCATAAGTGCTCAGCACCCAGGGCCATGCTTTGGTTGGGGAAGAGCAGCTGGGCTGGATGTCTATAAACAGGTGGGAAGCAGGTGATGCTGAGCAGCGGGCCAATTGGCCATTCAGGAAAGCGCTCACACCTGGGGTGAGTGGGGTGAGAGGGTAGAGAATGAGGAGGGGTGTGTGTAGAAGCACCTGTTTTAGTGCCTGGCACAGAATTGGTCCACAGTGGTCACAGGTGGTTGGTACTTAAGAGAATGGATCCTGCCTTCAGGGGTTTTATCAGGTAAAGAGCTGGGCACACTTACCATACACTCACTCATTCAACCAGCATTTATCACATATGGCCACGAGGAGGCTGAGGACACAAGCTTGATAAAATATGATCTCATTCCTCAAGGAGCTCCCTGCAAGATGGGGAGGCAAACCCAAGAGAGGCCCTGGAGGGTCTTATGGGAGCAGGATTCAGAGCAAGGAGGTAGGGAAGGGAAGAAGAAACTTTAAAAAGAGCCCAGAGGCAGATAGGCTACTGAGTAAAGAGGTGAGGAAGGTGTTGTTCCCTGACCCACCACTATGTACTGAATGTCCAGGGGCAGGTCTAGAGTTGGGGGGTCAATTGTGTGAAATGCCTCTTTGTCCTGCTCTGGCTACTGAATTACTCATTTATTCATGTGTTACACCTGTCTGTATTAGACCTTCCAGAGTCAGGGAGCTCTGGCTGGGGGAGGGGTGTGTAAATAAGAAGTCACAGATCAGTGTAGTGATGCAGAGATGTGTCCTGGGGCAGTTTGTGGGGGGCAGATCCAGGAGGGACAGAGAGGGAGCCGGGAAGATGCAGAGGGTGGAGAGGCAGGGGTGTTCCCAGGCACAGACCCAAACTGCAGCATGGCTACCCAGGAAGCTAGAAGCTGTAAAGTGGGGTTGGAGTAGAGGGTGTGGTGTGGAGTGGGCGCGCTGACTCAGGACTTCTTGCGTGAACTGGTGGGGGAAGCTGGTGTGTGAACTTAGAGGCCTTGTTAGGAAGACTAGACGTTAGCCTGGAACCAGCGGGAGCTGCAGAAGGGCCCTGAACCAGAGAGGGCAGATTCCTTTAGATGTGAGCCTCTCAGGCTGCAGGGTGGAGGGTGGGTTTGAGAGAACTGGCTGGGGCCAGGGAGGCTGGGGGGAGAGGCTGGCAGGCCAGGGAGTCGGGTGGGGGGTCGAGGAGAGGCCAGCGGGACAGGGCAACTGCAGGGAGAGAGGCCGGTGGGCCAGGGAGACTAGTAGAGGAAGCAAGCCTGGCCGGGAGGCTCAGGTGAGTGGCTGCTGGGAAGTTAAGTGAAAAGGCTATAGGGCCAGGGAGGCTAGTTCAGGGGTCTGTGAGCTGGGGAGGTTATGTTCACGAAGAGGCTGGTGGGCCAGGGGCGCCAATTGCGGCGGCGGTGGGCCTCCAAGACTAGTTCAGGGGTCCGTGAGCTGGGGAGCCTGAAGCAGGGCGGGCCGCGGGTGCTGCCTGCAGATGCTCGTGGGCCGGGAGACCAAGGGAAGAGCTCAGGCCAGGGCTACCAGTGAGGAGGCTGGCTCCGGTTGGGGTCCTAAGCGAGGTCAGAACTGCCGGCGGGGCCAGAGCGGATCCAGACCGGATCCTGGCCTTAGCTGGATTGCAGGTTCCTGGGTTTGTGTGGGTTCTGCCTGCTTGCTGGGTGAGGAACATTTCCTGTTTGAGTCTGTGCTCACTGTTCTAAGGACCTAATTTTTTGAACATCTTTGAGATCAGGCCGAAGGGAAGCTGGCCTCCCAGGAGCCCTAGGACAGTCTTCCAGAACAGCGTTCACCTCCCTGTCCCAGCCACCAGCTCTCCAGGGTTTGGAGGACTAATCCTGGAGGGCCCTGTCATTGGTTCTTCCAGGTACCCCCACAGCCCCAGCCCTCCCCAGACGGATGGCGGCCACCCGTAGAAAGCACACGCACAACAGCCCAGCCTCCGCGACAGGCCACACTTTATTTGGAGTTTTCCACGAAAGCGACTCCCAGCAGAGCCGCATGGTATGTGCAAAAGTCCCCCCAGAAAGCTGGGCCTCGCAGTGTGTAAAAAAGGCCCCCCATGGGGCAGAGCTGTGCAACCATAAAAAAAAAAAAAAAGAGAAAGCAGTCCTCCAGGAAGCCTGGCTGGGCAGCTAGAGGTCGCCCAGGGCCAGGCCACGTCCAGCGCTGCTGCTGGGTCTGGGTCTGTTTTCTCCTCTGATTGTGCTTTCTTCTCCAAGTCCTGTGGCCACCAGAGGGGCCAGACACGGTCCTTAGCAGCAAGGTGGTCTGGCCGGCAGTGCGGTTTGAGGGTGACCTCTCACACACGCAGACACCCCCAAACACATGCTTCCCGCTGGCCTCAGCCCCACCAGAAAACTCGGGGCTTCCCTTCACCCCCTCCCAACCCCTAGCCCACCCTCGTGTCACATTCGATGGGAGGAACACTGCCCTGAGACAGGTGAGGCCCTCCAAGCCCGGGGGGCATGGCGGGGTGGGGAGGCTGTGCCGCCCGTCCCACACCCCAGGCAGGTGTTAGTGGTCTGATTCTGCGTGTGCTTCTAGGTGTGGTACTTGCGTGTGTGTTTGTGTGTGAGTGTGAGTGCGTTGGCCGGAGGTGGGGGCCGAGGCTGGGGGAGGCACTTCTGGGATTCAGGGCACATTGACTTTGAAGGGGCTTCCAGGGACACTTTCATCCCCCCACTTAACAATGAGGATATAGTCCCCTTTCTCCTTGACAGTGTAGGTGACGTTGTAGACCCGGTTCCCCATGTGCTTCACGTAGACCTCCTCACATGGGGTCTTGGGCCCGTGCACACCCACCATCATCATATTGGTTCCTGGAGAAGGAGACAGAAAGGGCTGGGTCACCCCAGGGGCCCACAGCCCCTCAGCGACCCCATCCCCCTGTCCCTGTGCCCTGGCCCACCCTGGGACACCACCCCTCTCCTCCCTCAGCATGCCTGCTTTGCTGCAGTCCACAGTGAAGGAGTTCTTCTGGCCCACAAAGGCCTGGGACAGCCCCGGGCCCCGTGTCACCACCTTGCTGGCATCTGAGGAGAACTTAGGGATAGAGCTGTAGCTGGAGCCGCGGCTGGAGGATGACTTGGTCACGGTCTCCACCAGGACCGTGGATGTTTCGTGAAGGCTGTGTCCTCCAGACAGCCGAGGACCTGAGGGACAGAGTTGGGGTAAGCACAGACTGGGGGAGAGGCCTGCCTTCCCCTGAGCTGCAGGCCCTCGGCCCCGCGCTGACAGTCCCATGGGCCGTGTCCCCTCCCTTGCTGTGGCACCCAGCGAGCCCGGCTGCGTGCGCCAGCTCCGGCATCCTGAAGTCCTGGGCTTTGGGTGGCTCCAGCCCTCACCCTGGCTTGGCCTGGGAACCCAAGTCACAGGGTAAGAGTCTTGCTTTAAAAAGATCACAGATCTTGGGGCGCCTGGGTGGCTCAGTGGGTTAAGCCTCTGCCTTCAGCTCAGGTCGTGATCCCAGGGTGCTGGAATCGAGCCCCGCATCGGGCTCTCTGCTTGGCGGGGAGCCTGCTTCCTCCTCTCTCTCTGCCTGCCTCTCTGCCTACTTGTGATCTCTCTCTCTGTGTCCAATAAATAAAATCTTTAAAAAAATAAAAAATAAAAAAATAAAAAGATCACAGATCCAACTACTCCTTCACCCTGCTTCCGAAAGGAAAGCCTGCTAAGTATTTACTGAGTTTTGCTCTCTAGAAACCCAGATACCTAGAAGCCAGGTGGGCAGAAAATCAAGTGACAGGCAACAGTAAAGAGAAGGATTTGATCTTCGAAACTGATTCTCTGTGGCTGCACATACGGAGCACAGAGTGAGGGCAGACCCGCCTGTTCCTGCTAAGCTGCCCGTGGTTTTTCGCGTCAGACTGTGACTCAATGTGAATGGCCACTGGAGTCATCCAGGCTGGGCCGGAGGGATGCCCCCCATCCAGGGCACTCACCTGTGACTTTGGCCTTGAAGGGGCTGCCCACGATGTGCTGGGGGCCACCGTACTTGATAGCAATGAGGTAGTTGCCAGGGGCCATGGGAGTGTAAGTGACCACGTGGCCCTCAGGACACTCCCGACAGTCCAGCTGTACCTTGGAGGGGCCATCGATGGTGACAGACAAGGCCCCTGAGCCCGCGTTCAGGGTGTTGACAATGAACTCTGATGACACGCCTGGGGGTTGGAGGTAGCAAGGCTATAGGCAGGAAGGGCTTGGGGCCCAGGGCTGGGCCGAGCCCCAGGCTCCCACAGCAGACCTCTGCAGGGACTCCGCCCTCTGGGTCAGGGCAGTACAGGACCAGAAGCCGAGCACCCCAATATCCAGCCCTCTTCCCCAGACCCAGACACTCACCAGTAGTGCCTCCCTCAAGCCCAGGACCGTAAGCTGACACCAAGCCTGGGTCCCCAGCCTGGCTCTGCTCCCCAACACGGATCTTGAAGGGACTGCCAGGGATGTGGGCACCGTTGAACTTGACATCAATAGAGTGGACGCCGTTTTCATGGGGGATGAAGCGGATGGCGTGCTTGTCTGTTGGGCAGAGGACTAGTGAGTAAGCCTTTGTTCTTCCCCTCCCCATCCCTCAGAAGGGCCTGGCATGGGGGGCAAGGCCAGGGCCAGCTCACCGCTGTCCAGCTCAGAGACGTAGCACTCCTCCACCGCGCCCGAGGGCGTGTGCACACGAGCATCGATCACGCCCCGAGCACCATTCAGCTGCACTGCAAAGGACGCCGGCTGGTTCACTCTGAGACCTGTCTCCTGCAGAGGCCACAGAGGGTGCTCAGACTCCCGGAAGGGTCTGGAGCACTGCTCTTGCTGCCCGCCTAGCCTAGAGGCTCCCACCCCCTGCCGGCCCAGCTCAGGGAGGTGGGAGGCAGGGGCTGGGCCTGTGGCCTTGGCATCTACCTGCCCGGAGGTGGGCCCACCTGGCTGTGCTGGGCACGGTGGGAGGATGAGATGACATACCCTGTCCTGGCTGAGGGGGTAAGACTTACACCATAAAGCAGGCCAGTGCCTGATCATGCTGTATGGCCCAGAGGCCCAGACGAGGAAGGAAGAGTGGCCTAGATTGGTCCCATTGACCCACCCTGGAGAAGGTGGATCAATGGGAAGGACTGGAAGAAGCACAAGGAGGCCAACTGGGGATGGGAGTATGTGAAGGTGAACCTGGGGGTGAGGCATGGTTTCCCCTGCTGACTGTCTCTTCCAAGGCCACTGCTAAGCCCCTGGACACATGGACCTGCCTTCGCTTCCTGCCCAGGTCCTACCCCCGAGCACATACCTGGAGGCTGGTGACGGTGAGGCGGCGAGCGTCATCTGAGAGGGAGGCCACAGGCACCACAAAGGGACTGTCTGGTATGTGCTCATCGTTGAACTTGATGGAGACCTCATAGTCACCTGAGGAGGGAAGGCTGGTCAGCACAGGCCCCTGGACAGGAGATGGGGGTGGCGGCACCTCCGGCCCGCCTCATGCCAGGACAGGCTCGTTGGGTCAGAGCTCAGGTCTAGAGAGAGTCTCACATCTGCAGCCATGCAGGGTGGAGGAAGATGGGGCAGATCAAGAGCAGGCGCCCAGGTGAAGGAGGAGTTCTGGGGCCCCTCTCTCTGCTCTGGTTGGCAAGCAGAATCCCAGTCTGAAAGGTTTGGCAGGCTCAGCCTCCCCCTCCATCATGGACACCTACCTGGTTCCTGGACAACATAGGAGACCCCACAGGAGCCATCTTTTCGGTCCTCAAAGGCGATCTCCGCCTTGCTGGGGCCCTCCACGGCAATGGACAGGCCCCCAGCCCCTGCTTCTCGGGTCCAGATGCTGAACTCAGCTGGGGACAAGGGAGCAGCGCAGAGGCAGCTCGTTAGTACCCTGCGCAGCCCACTGGCCACCCCGCCACCCCCTTGCCTGGCCCTTGCCCCTCACCTGGCACGCCGGCCACCCCTCGCTCCAGTCCAGTGCCTCCAGCCCTCACTTTGTGGGCGCCGCCTTCACCCAGTGGGCCCACAGTGAACTGGAAGGGGCTACCAGGCACATGCTGGCCGCGGTACTTGACAGTGACTGTGTGGGGCCCCATCTCCTGGGGCACGAAGCGCACGCTGTATGCACTGTCTTCTCCCTCGACGATCTCGGCGGCTTCCATCTTGCCTGACGGGCTGGTCACCTGTGCGGTCATGTCCTGAGAACTGGCCTCCCCTGCAGGGAGTGGGGAGCGTCAGGGCGACTGCTCCCAGCCTTGGGCCCTCCCTCCCTCCCTCCTCCCTCCTCCCTCCTCCGCGGAAGCTCTGCTTCTGCCCAGAGCCCCCACGGCCAGCTGCCGTGCCCTCCCGGTCCTGTCCTGGCCTCCCGGAGGCTCCAGGAGGCCCCTGGCCCCGCACAGCCACGCTCACCCTCCTGCTGTCGGGTGATGCTGCCGAAGGAGCCCAGGCGCTCCCGGCCCAGGAAGTCCCCGAAGACGGCAGGGAAGGGGTCGCCCCCAACCTGGGTGGACTCCTCCACCCGCACCTCGCGCTTGGTCTCGCCGCCCCGCGTCTTGCTGATCTCTGTGCGCTCTGTGCGGGTGTAGGTGTGGCTGCTGCGGGTGAAGGTGCGCGTCAGGCGCTCCTGGGCAGACACCATCTGGAACCAGTTTCCTGTGGGACACGGAGCCACCGAGGTGAGCGAGCCAGGACTGCCCTGGGGTGGGCTCTGGGCCCAGCGCCCTCCCTGGAGCCCCACCTCGGCTCTTCCGGGCTCGCACCTGGGATTTTGAGGTTGAGGTCGCAGGTGCTGCCAATGGTGGCGATGGAAGGCGCCTGCCTGCGCCGCGTGATGCTCTCCTTCATGCGGCCCTCACCGGTCACCTTCACAGTGAACGGGCTTCCTAGAACAGGAGAAGAGGGCCGTCAGCTGCTCAGACCCCCGGCCTCGCGGCCTCCCCCTGCCCAGCCGTTGCCCAGAGCTTACCTGGCACGTGCTTGTCCGCAAACTTGATGTTGATGATGTAGGTGCCGGGCTCAGTGGGGCAGTAGGTGACTTTGCACGTGCCGTCCTCCATGTCTTCGCAGTTGATGTCCACCTTGCTGGGGCCTTCAATACTCAGCCCCAGACCCCCGTAACCTGGCAGGAAGCCAAGGACACCTCTCCCTCAGGCCCTGCCACTCTGCTGTCCCCTCCCCATGCTACAGGCTCTGTCTGGACCAGGGGCCCAACATGTATGTTAACCACTAATGACAGCGGGCTCTGCGGGAGGAGGGATAAGCCTGGCACTGAACCAGAGGGCCAGGGCTGGGGCAGTCTGGAAAAGTCCCTCAGTGGGCCTTTTAGGTTCTAGTGAGTAAGGGAGAGTCAGAAACTCAGGACAACTGGGCTTCCAAACTTGAGAGAGGTGACCTGGAACATGCATAACCCCTTCCCCTGGAATGTGAATCCCCAGAGACTGGGCCAGGAAGTTCCTGTTGGGGGGGGTTGGGCAGGAAAGTTCCAAGTCCTCATTAGAAGCACCAGCTGAAACGGCGGGGGAGCGGTGGTCCCTGAGGTGAGAAGCACCTGCATTGCGAGTGTCCACGATGAACTCCGCCACCTGGAAGGTTTGTCCCTCAGACAGACCCTTGCCCCAGACGCGCACCTTGCTGGCATCCCCGATCTCAGACGGCCCCACCAGGATCTTGAAGGGGCTGTTGGTGACATGCTTGCCACTCTTGCGCACGCTTACCACGTGCTCCCCAACTTCCTTGGGGGTGAAGGAGATGCCTGTGGAGAGGGGGTGGTCAGGCACAGGGCCCTGGGCCCAGCAGAGCAGCCCTCCCCCTCCGGCAGCCCTTCCTCACGGCCCGCACTCACCGATGTGGCGGTTGGGCAGGCGCTTTAACAGGCAGGGCTCCTCGTTGCCCGAGGGGGCACGGATGCTGGCGGTCAGCAGGCTCAGATCACTCTCGGTGATCTTCAGGGACACGTCCGTGGAGGTGCCCACGTTCAGCTGTGACGTGCGCATTGAGTCGTCACCTGGTGGGGGAGTTTGACATGTCAGACGGTTAGGAGTCCAGGCAGGCCGTGTCCTCACAGGGCGTCGGAGACCTCCTAGCTGACCCCGCTGGACTCGACAGCTGGGACCCCTCAAAAGGCAGAGAGGCCTGAGAGAGCAGGTTCTTCTGTTGCACTTTGGCTGCCGGAGCTTACAGGTGGGCCCAGTACCCCAGCTGCCCCGTGAGTGCTTCAGGCCTGAATGGGCTCAGCCCTGATCTGTGTGTTTTAATTGCAAGTCACATGGTTTCGTGGAACCGAAACACGAGACTGGAGCAGAGGACACAGACTCCTTGGCTGCCATGGGGCTCTGATCAAGTGGCTTAGCCTCTCTGGGCCTGCTGACCTACCAGAAGAGATTAGCAGTACCCTAACTTCTCCAGAGTTACTTCAGTGACCTAATATGAGATGAGGTGTTTGAAAGCACAGGGGGTGGGCGGATACCTCCCATCTGCTCCAGGGAATAGAGGGATCCTTGAATTTGTCCAAAGATGACCCCTTGCACCCAGGGGGGCCCCCACCCTTTCACCCCAGGTTACATGGACATGCTGGGCTTGCCCTCCCGGCTCGTGGGCCCACCCCTGCCCCACCTGTGATCTTGGCTGTGAAGGGGCTCCCTGGGATATGCTTGTCATCAAAGCGCACGATGATGCTGTAGTCTCCGGGCGCCGTGGGTAGGTAGGACACGGTGCAGGTGCCATCCTTGTTGTCCTTGCAGGTGATCTCAGCCTTGGAGGGGCCCTCCACGGCCAGGGACAGACCCCCTGGAGGAGGAGGGAGGGTGAGATCAGAGGTCCTGCCCTCAGCCCTGCACCTGGCCTCCTAGCCCAGCCCTCTGCCTCCAGCTCTCCTCACCTTCCCCGGCGTCCTTGGTGACAATGGTGAAGGTGGCCGGCTTGTTGACCATGCCGTGGCTCAGGCCTGGCCCGTATGCACTGACATGGCGGCTGTTGATGGCGTCCACGTAGAACTGCATGGGGCTTCCTGAAGGAGACCGAGAGAAGGGACTGTGTCAGCAGCGCAGACGGGAGCTGCCTGACCCCACCACAGCCCCTGGACGTTCCTGCAGCTGCCCTGTCTGCCGTGGGGGGCCTGACTGATGAAAGTCTGCCTCCCATAGTGTCTGTATACAGTCGGCGCTCAATGAATGTTTATTGAAAGAAGGCAGGTGAGGACGAAGCCACAGCGGCCTCCTCTCAGCCCGGCCCCAACTTACCGGGGATGTGGTTGCCGTCATACTTGATCCCCATGTGGTGCAGGCCTTTCTCGGTGGGCGCGTACCTCACCGTGATGGTGCCGTCCTTGTTGTCGGTGATGTTGGGCCGGGCTGTCTTCCCAGAGGGCATCCGTACCTCCCCTGCGGGGTAGCAGAGTTATGTCAGGGACCCTGTTTTTTCCTAGCATGCCCCCCACTCCCTACTGCCCCAGGCCCTGAGAGACAGCCCAGAGCAATGAGATGAAGCCTGCACTGGGGCAGAGAAGGCTTGAGTCTGAGTTCCAGCTATGCCCAACTTGGCTCTGTGACCCTGGGTAGCTCGCTTCCCCTCTCTGGACCTAGAGGAGCTGGTTCCTCCACTGGCTTCCCCAGCCCTCCTGTCTCAGGGCCCCAGGACACTACCTGTGAGTTCCCCTTTCTGTACGGTGAAGGGGATGACCAGGTTGAAGGGCCTCAGCATGGACTCCATTGGCTCTGCGGGCACCACTGGCTCTTCTGTGGCCTGTGGCAGGGGAGAGGAACAGTCATGGCCAGGGAAGGCCTGCAGAGCTTGGCCTGAGTCCCAACAGAAGTCCGAGAAAGGGAGGAAAGAACGAGATGGTTAACGGTGAAACCAGAGCGGCAGGCGGCAAGAGAAGAGGTGCCGTGCTCAGCCCGGGGACCCGCCCGCTCCCCAGTATGGCCCCACGCCAAGCCCCAGCCCTGGCCACAGAGGACTAGAAGGAAGAAATGAAACAGCAGGAGGAGGGCGAGGAGCAGCCCGGGCAGGAGGCGGCAGTACCCAGTGTGCGGGGTAGGTGCTGGGCTGGTGCAGCACATCAGAGGGCTCCTCCACGTGGGCCATGGGGTCAGACGCCTGGGAGGCAAGGCATGGAGAGCACGGGCTGTGGCAGGCCGGCTCACGCCAGCCCGAGCACTCAGGAGCTGCCTCCGAGAATGGCCCAGGGACCTGAGATCTTGGGCCGCCCTTGGGGTAGGATGGGTATCTTGTGAGCTTTCCCTCTGGAGGGCTGCATCGTCCTGCAGGGCCGCCTGGCGGGGGAAGCGGGGAATGTCCAGGGACTCTGGGCCCAAGGGTTGGAGAACGACATGGCCAGCTCCTCCAGAGAAAACTGAGAGACCACTGGGGAGGCCAGAAAATGGGCTGTGCTCAACTCCCAAGTTGGGAGGCTGTGGGAAACCAAAGGCTTGACTCCAGAATGTTCTGGGCCCAGAATCCATCAGACGGGGGGGCGGGTTCTGGGATTCCTTGCTGCTGCTAACAGGGCCCATCTCCCCAACCACTGTCCGGGGCCATGGAGCTTACCAGCACGTGGAAGGGGCTGTTGGGGATGTGCTCGCCTCCAAAGCGGATGGTGATGACGTACTTGCCCGGCTCGGGCGCCGTGTAGTAGATGTCAAAGGTACCATCATGGTTTTCCACCACATCCACGTCAAGCTCCGCCCCGTCGGGTGTGGATACTGTGCACGTCACCTTGCCCTTGCCTGCTGCCTTGGCATCCACCGTGATCACGGTCTCCTCCCCGATTTGGATGCGGGGTCCCAGGCAGGCACCTGCCACCCAGAAGAGCCAAGTTGAGGGTCAGTGGGAGCTGTGCCCGGTCCCTCTCCATTCCCAGCCGCCCTCATGACCTCAGCCCACGGTGAGAAGAGAAAGGGCACTCACCCAGACCATGGCCTCCAATGGACACTGGAAATAGAGAAGAGTGTGAGGCCACACGGCCGTGGGGTGGGGGGTGAGGCGAGGGGAGGGGGGGCGGGGCAGGGGGGGCGCTCTGACTGGCAGTCCCCTAGGGACTAGGCCAGGGACCTGGAAGAGCTGTGAGGGGTACAAGACGGTGAGCAGGGGCAGAGCGTGGGGGGCGCACACCCACCCGTGACAAGACACTTGCTGGCATCCCCGGTGGGCAGGGCGTGGATGCGGAAGGGTGAGTAGGGGATCTCGTCGCCACCATACTTGATGGTGATGGTGTACCGACCACTCATGTCTGGCAGGTAGGACACAGTGTATGTGCCATCCCCATTGTCTCGGATGTTGGCCTTCTTGGGCTTTCCCTCGGGGTCCTGGGAGAGAAGCAGAGGTCAGGCCCTGCCTGTGGCCAAACCCTAGCAGGGGAGACAAGCTACATAGGGACTCACCAGGATCTGGACGGTAAGCAGACCCTCCCCAGCATCTCGGGCGTCAATGGTGAACTCCACAGGCAGGCTGGCAGGGATGCCAGAGGCGTTGAGGCCGGGGCCACTGGCCCGTACCTTGCTGGCGTCGTGGGCAGGAAGCACCTTGATCTTGAAGGGGCTTGAGGGGCAGAAAGGATGGACAGTTTGCTGGGGGTCTGGGGGGAGTCCTCCCCACACACGTAAGGAGGGAGGATTCCCTGGGGCAGGGAGGAGGGAACAGACCACATCCTGAGTTTTGTGGGAGGGTCACTTGAGGACGCCCAGGATGGACCCTGAGCATTTCTGCATTCCCCAGGAAGATGCTGGGTTTAGTTTAAAGAGGAGGGTGCCAGGGGCTGCCTTCTCCCCCCACCTGTCTTTTCCCAAGGCACTAATTTTGTAGCTCTGCGGTAGGAAAGCCTGGGCCAAGGAGAGCCCCAGGGGCTGCGTTACCTCTCTGTGGCGACAGGTAGGTAGCCCCACGGAGGAGCAGGCTGGGGTGGCTGAGACTGAGACCAGCTGAGACCAAGACAGGTGAAAGGGGCACCCCCAGGGCCCTGGTAGGGGCCCGCAAGTATGGCCCCAGGAGGAGGGCCCCCCCAGCTCGGTCACAGCATGGGAGCCCCAAAGTAGTTACCTGCGTGGCACCTCCTGGTCAGCATACTTGACGGCTACCGTGTAGGGCCCATCGGTGGCTGGGGTGTAGTGGACCGTGTGGGTGCCGCCTCCGTTGTCCAGTACCTCCACAGGCTCCGCCACACCTGGGCAAGGGGGGCAGGGTCAGCAGAGCCTCCCAGCACCCCATCCTCCCACCCCTTCTTCCGCCCTGCCCTGACATTCTGTACCTGTGGGACCCAGCACGGCCACGTGCAGCGGAGCTCGGCCAGCTTGGCTGCAGTCCACTGTGAAGGTCTGGGGCACCCGAGCCCTGACGCCGGCCCCCAGCCCTGGCCCCGAGCACTTCACCTTCCCAGGGTCCACCACATCCTTCACCGGCACCCGGAACGGGCTCCCTGCAAGGAGAAGGACATCAGCCCCTGTCCACCTGCCCAGGAGGGTCACAGACACTGAAGAGGCCTGCAGGAGGTCTTCCCTGCCTCCGAAATGCCCCAGGGAGGCCAGACCAACGTGTGCAAACGCTTAAGAACTTGCTAAGAAAATGTAAACAGGGACAGAGAAACTTGGCTGCAGACTGAGGCTAGGCAAACCTCATTAGCTGAGCCACCCGCCTGGAAGAAGTCCTGCCAATGGGAAGGGTGTAAGCCCAACACTTCACAGGCCTGTACCCCTGGGGCTAATGATACACTATATGTTAATTTTTTAAAAAAGTAATAATAAAAAAGTCCTAACTAAAATACAAAAAATGGATTTTAAAAAATAAAATCCACTTCTGGGGTGCCCGGGTGGCTCAAATAAAGTTAGGCGCCTGCCTTCGACTTAGGTCATGATTCCAGGGTCCTGGAATGGAGCCCCGCATCAGGCTCCCGGCTCACCGGGGAGTCTGCTTCCGCCTCTCCCTCTGCCTCTCCCCTGCTAATGCTCTCTCTCTCTGTCTGTCTGTCTGAAATGAGTTGGGAACTGTGTTAGCAGCGTGGACGGGAGCTGCTTAGCCCACCACAGCCCCTGGACGTTCCTGCTGTTCTTTCCACACGCACCTGGGATGGGTCGTCCCCCGAAGGTGATGTTGACGTCATAGTCCCCAGCTGTGAAGGGGATGTACTCCACAGTGCAGCTGCCATCTTTGTTGTCCTTGCAGGACATCTTGGCTTCCGAGGGGCCCTCGATGGCTAGGCCGAGGCCTCCAGTGCCCGCTCCCCTGCAAGGTGACACCCTCCTCAGTTCTGCTAGTGACCGTGAGCGAGTAGGGAGAGGGAGGAGCGGCTGAATGGGGTGAGTGGAGGAAGGAGGGCAGGCCGCCAGGGCCCCGCTGAAGAGGGACCAGCTACAGGCGTTGATCTGAGATACTGGGGCAGGAGGGAGCTTGGGGGAGGACAGGTTTGCTCCTGGTCACCCTTGAGAGGGGATTGGCATGAGGTACACACAGGACAGAGGAAAAGGGCAAGGGGCTGAGGTCAGGGTGGCCACAGCCTCTGTGTTCAGGCAAGGGGGAGGTTACCTGGTCTCCACGGTGAAGTGGTTGGCCTTGTTGACCAAGCCCCCCTCTAGGCCTGGCCCAAAGGCCCGCACACGGGTGGGGTCACAGCCCTCCGTCACAGCCACTCTGAAGGGGCTCTTGGGCACAGCGACCTCGTCATACAGCACCTCCACCAGATGCACGCCTGGAAGCCAGCCACACGGAGCGGGTCGGGATGTGCACGGCCCCAAGAGTGCGACCGTGCTGGGAGCAGTGTCATCAGATCCCCACCCCCCACCCCCGCCCCACTCCGCCAGGCCCTCACCCTCCTCATAGGCTGTGTACTGCACCCGGTAGGTGCCATCCCCGTTGTCCGTCACATAGGTGTCTGTCTTAGCCCCCGAGGGGTTGAGCACACGCGCGGTCACGTGGTTCCCACCCGTGGCCGTTAGGGATCTGGCATCCACAGTGAACTCGGTGGTCACCTCGCGCAGGACACCTGGGGCCCAGGAGAGGGGCACTCAGTGTGGGGCCAGAGCAGCTCTCCCACAGGCACTCACGCCTCCACTCTACCCAGCTCCCAGACTCTTCCTTCCAGACACCTGCTACTTCCCAGCCTGAGCCCAACCTCCCTCTGCACCCGTGTGCTCCAGGCCTGTCTCCCATGGCCCCTGCCTTGTGCCCACTCCCAACCCATGATCCTCTGTTCACCTCAGGTGCCCCACAGCTGCAAGGGTTATGTCTGGGTCTTCTGCCTCCCTGTACCTTGCACCCCCATGCCTAGCCATTTCCCTGGGGTATCCAAGCCCTCAGGACTTGACGGCTGCCCCCAAACCCTCCTTTCACCCCACCGTGGCCCTCCCTAAGCCCTCAGCCCCATTTCCCTCCCCGCTGCTGATGACCATGGCTCCCTCACGGTTCCTCCTCTCACTCACCGTGAGGCTCCACACCGGGGCCCGAGACCTTGACTCCGCTGGTGTCGACAGCAGGCTGCACGTGGACACGGGTAGGGAACTTGGGGACGGGGTGCCCACCGTACTTGATGGTAATGGTGTAGGTGCCAGGGAAGGCGGGGCTGTAGGTGATGTGGTAGGTGCCATCGGCATTGTTGTGGATCAGGACCTCGGCCTTGACGCCGGCGTCCGACAGGATCTCGATGGTCAGCTCAGCCTCACCCGCCTCTGAGCAGTCCACAGTGAAGGTGGCTGCCTCGCCGGCCTTGCCACGCTCCAGGCCTGGCCCGCTGGCCCGCACCTTGCTTGGGTCGAACACAGGCCGGATGGTGGCCTTGAAGGGCGAGCCGGGGATGTGGGCTTCGGCAAATAGGATGTTGATGGTGTATTCGCCCGGCTCCGTGGGCAGGTAGCTGACAGCGCATGAGCCATCGCCGTTGTCCTGGCACTCGATCTTGGCCTCGCAGGGGCCCTCCACGGTCAGCCCCAGGCCGCCTGTGCCAGCCCCCTTGGTGTCAATGGAGAAGGGTGCCGGGGTGCCTACCAGTCCACCCTTGAGACCAGGGCCATAAGCGCAGACCTAGAAGAGGAGCACAGATATGATGTCCTCACCTCGGGCCCCTCCCATGCTTGGTCTCCATGGCTCCCCACCCAGCTCTGCCCCTTCAAATGGAGCAACCACCACAGATTGAGTCCTTCTTAGAACAATTCCAGATGAGGAAGTGCAGGCAGAGAGCCCAAATCATTTATCCCTGGAATTCAAACCCAGGTGCGACCAAAGGCCACGCTCTTAATAACTAAGCTATCTCAGAGGCAGGTCCGGGGCCAGGGGGGTACCTTGGTATCCCCTTGGTATTCACTCCAGAAACAGGGGCCATCTGGCCTCTGCCCCTGTGACTCCTCCATCTTCCCTGTAAACCCCTGAATCCCAGTTCCCTCCAGCTCCTGTCTCCTCACCTTGGAGGGGTCAGGGGGCAGGACACCCTCCACAGCAAAGGGGCTGCCAGGCACGGGGTGACCATCATAGGTGATGTCCACCTTGTAGGGTCCCTCCTCGGGGGGCATGTAGCGCACAGCCTGGGTTTCAGCTCCGCCCCCGGGCTCCAGCTTGCAGGGGATGGGTCGGCGGGAGGGGGAGGTCATCCGCACATCCAGCTGGCCCTGACCGCCAGCCCCTCGGGTATTCACGGAGAACGCCTGTTCTTGCCCCACAGCCGCCTCTGCGGAGAGGGCGAGGGGCACAGTGAACAGGGGCTCCGGCCCACCCCATGATCCCTGTCATTTCCAGGTCCGCTCCTGCCCCACTTACTGCTGTTCAGGCCTTGAACTTTGACTTTGCTCAGGTCAAGCGGGGGCGCCACATTCACCACAAAGGGGCTCTTAGGGACAGGGTCCCCACCGTAGGTCACTGTCACTGCCATGTTGCCCTGTTGGGTACAAGAGCAGGTCAGAACTGGGTGGCTTAGACAAGAGAGCCTGACAACATGCCCGAGGCCATGGACTCGAGGCTCAGGGGGGCACGGCCATAGCACAGGGGTGGCAGGAAAGGGGCCAACACTCAGAAGTGGCCCTCGGAGACTGGAGGAAGGAGATGCAGGACGCGGTCAGCCAGGATGGGTGAGGCAGGGAAGGGGTGGGACGCACCTGCTGGACAGCTGTGTACTTGACAGTGTAGGAGTAGTCATGGTTGTCAATGATTTCAAAGTCCCGCACAGCCTCACCCTTGGCGGCCCCGGCAAAGTGCACGTCCAGCTTGGCCTTGCCAGCTCCCTTGGTCAGCACCGTGAAGTGAGTGGGCTTCCCGACTTCCACACCTGGGGGGGCCCAGCCGAGATGGTGGTGAGGGTCTGGTGGACACGCAGCCCCAACTCCAGCCCAGCCCGGCCCAGCCCCTGCCCAGACACCTACCCGTACGGTTCAGCCCAGGGCCCTCAGCCTTGACCTTGCTGGCGTCATGGGATGGGTCCACCTTAATATGGAAGGGGCTGGCAGGGATCTCCTGGATGGAAGAAAGATTTGGTGAGGGTAGGCAAAGGCAGCTTCTGAAAAAGCCCTCCGCTTTGTGCCTTCTAAGACACACTGCCTGCACACAAGAAGGGCTTGAGCGATGGTTGTGATCTTGTCCGTAAATGACAGCATGTCAAGCCACTGGCTGAGACCTGGAGGGTACAGGCTGCCGATGATTGCCAAAAGCCAAGGCGGGGGTACCTTGTTGGCAAACAGCACCATGATGGTGTAGTGGCCGGCTCCTGGGGGCGTGTACTTGACTGTAAAGGTGTCGTTGTCGTTCTTGATGATGTCGAAGTCGATGTCAGCTTCTGCAGGGCCCACAACGCCGGGGGCACATTTGATGCCAATACTCACATCACCTGAGGGGCGGCAGGCACGAGGCCATGAGTGAGGTCCCAACAGCCCCCACCCCCACTTAATTAGTCCCACTTGAACTCTGCCCAGAAACAGGATCTAGCCAGAGCGGGTACCCCACCAACACAGACCCACGCAGACCCTACCCGGGACCCCACCCCAGGCCGCACACACCCGTCCCCAGCCACAGCCCAGCGCACCTTGCCCAGCCTCACTGCAGTCCACAGTGAAGTAGGTGGGCTCGTTGGCCTTGAGGCCCGTCTTCTCCACACCTGGGCCATACACCTTCACCCGCTCAGGGTGACTGCCTTCTCCCACGTTCACCTGTGGGGAGGGGGTCGGTGCTCAGCACGCTGCCCCTCCCAAAAGGCCTCTTTCCCCAGCACTACCAGCCCAGCCCTGGGACCAGTCTTGGCCTCCATGGGTGGAGTGTGTTGACAAGGGCCCAGGGACAACCAGCATCTCCTGCCCAGGCCTCCACCCTCCCTCTGGGACCCCAGGGTCAAGGGGCAGGGTAGGAGGACACACCCGGAAGGGGCTCTTGGGCACGTTGACACCTCCCCAGGAGACGATGATGGTGTGTTTGATGGGCTTGGTGGGCACATAGGAGCAGCGGAAGGTGCCGTCACCATTGGGGATAACCGTGATGTTGACAGGGCAGCCGTCAGCGTCCTGTGGGCAACACCAAGCAGAGTCTCAGGGTGCTAAGGCCTCCTCAGAGCACTGGCGCCCTCTGCTGGCCTCAGGCCGCCCTCCTTACTCATCGCCGCTCGCGGCAGACCTTAGGCCAAGAGAGCCCAGGGGCAGAGCACACCCAGGGAGCCTGGAATCTGTCTGGAAACCGTCTAGGCCCCCTCACCTCCCAGCCTAGGCAGCTGAAAGGTGTTAGTAGGCTAGAGGCTGGGCTAAATCCACGTTTCTAAAGTTGAACAATGAACACTTTAAAGAAAAATCATCCTCTTATTCATTAACTTTAGGGGTTGGTGGACACCAGTTTGAGGAACTGATCTGGGAAGCCGATGTCTGAATCAAATCATCTTTCAAATGAAAAATTATTAGTGCAACCAAATACACTTTTGGTAAAATATGTTAAGATTATCATCAGAAAACACACAATTTTCAGTTTTGCATAGTTCTCCTGGATCCATGAGAGTCAGTCCTGAGATGTTACAATTTCCTCTGCCTCTCACCCGCCCCCACCCTCACAGGGCTCCTGCCCGGGACAGTGGGGGCTGACAGGGCTGGGCGGTGCCCCACCTGGGCATACAGGTTCAGGTCTCCCTTGCCAGCGGCGCGGGCATCAATGGTGAACTCTGCAGGCTTGTCCACGATGCAGCCAGTGGGCTCCAGGCCAGGCCCAAAGGCCTTCACCTGTGCAGGGGGAGGAACAGAAAGCTAGGACAGGGACTGGAGGAGGGCCGCCTGGCCCCATCCTGGGCCCACATGCAGGTCCCCAACCGCACCTTGTCTGGGAAGCAGTCAGGCACGGCCGGCTGGATGTGGGCAATGAAGGGTGAGTCTTGGATGTCCTCATCATCACAGATGACATGCACGGCATACTCCCCGGGCTCTGTGGGCCAGTACCTCACATCGCAGGAGCCATCCCCCTTGTCATCACACTCGATCTTGGCCTGTGAGGGCCCCTCAATGGAGAAGCCTGTGTGCAAGGTAGGGAAGATCAGAGGCCATGAGAGGCAGCTCGGACACTCCCATCACTCCCTCTGTCGCCCCAGTGTCCCACTCCATCTCATCCTGATGCTACCCAGCATTCCCACCTCCTGTACCCCCATTCACTTCCCACGTCCCTCCAACATACCACTCCCCAGCATTCGCACCTGCTACAATCCAGCCACTTACCCAGTGTCCCCACCTCCGTGCCGATGGCCTCCACCACAAAGTCGGCCGACTTGCCCACCTGGCCCGTTTTCAGGCCGGGACCCCAGGCCCGAACCTTCTGTGTTCCTGCCTCTGGGCTCACCTGTACCTCAAAGGGGCTGGGCAAAGAGGAATCTGGCGTCCATGCTAGGAAGTACCTCTACTAGAGGTACCACCCTCCCCTCGGAGTACCAGGTAGCCCCTCGTCCTCCTCCCACCCCGTTAGAGCCCAGACAGGAAGGCACGGGGTGCATGGCTTACCTGCGGGGGATGGCATAGCCACCCCATGTGATGGTCACCACGTACTTCCCAGGAACCACTGGGTAGTATTCACACTCGAACACACCATCCCCGGCTTCCCGCACCTTCACCGGCTCCTCTGTGCCCTCTGAGGAGATGGGGGGCAGAGAAGGGGGTCAGAGTTCCTCAGTCCCCTCAAGGAGCCCTGGGGACCCAGGCCTAGCCTGAGGGCACTGCTACTAGGGGGCAGAGCTGAAGCTCAGGCAGAGATCACATGTCCTCCCTCTGTACAACCCCCAGGGTAGCATGGAGGGGCGAGAGGATCCTTCCCGGCTTGTAGTCGGGAAACTGGTACAAGAGAAGAGACAATGTGCCTAAGACTCCATGGTGCCTTTAGTCAGCCTCTTTTTGGAGTCTCTCCAGGGTGGCAGGCATGGTGCTGGCCATCACTGCCCTCAGGTAGTCAGACCAACTGACCAGATTTCCTCCCTGCTCTCCCACTCCCCAGTCCTGGACCCTGGTTACTCACTTGGCCCCTTGACGGTGACCTTGAGCTCCCCGCTGCCAGCACCCTTCGTGAATACCTTGAAGTCTGCCACCTCTTTCACACGCACACCCTTGGGCTGCAGGCCCCGCCCCGAGGCGCGGCAGGCATTGGGGTTACAGGCTGGGGGTTCAAGAGAGAAGATCAGGGGTGCTGAGGGGCCTGAGATAGAGCCTTAGCCTCTCACCACTCCTCCCCCACACCTCCCTGGGCATAGTCTCCCTGACATCCTTAAAGGCATGGGCTCGGGCCTCATGCTGTCCGCCTCTGGAGCCCCTGACACAACCGGGGCCCTTGGGAGCCGTGCCGGGACAGGGAGCTGGCTATAAGAAACCGTCCCTGCTGGGCTTCTCAGAGTCAGTGTTGCCTGGGACAAATACATGGCAGAGCCTGGGCAAGAGAGGGGGGCAAAGAGAGCTAGGGGAGGGCCCCAAACCACTCAAGGGCTCCCACCCACAGCCACCTGAGCCTTCCCAGTCAGACCCTCCACAGCAGCTTTAGGACTAAGTCATGCCCCAAAACATTATGCAAGGCCCCAGAACAGGAGACCCCGGCGAAACAGGGAGCTTGCCACAGATCACAGGCAAGGCACGGAGATCAACCTGCCACAGAAGACCACCAATGGCAATGAACCCAACCCTCGCTGCTAAACACGGGCCAAAGAATGGCAATCTCAGCCTGCCACGGAACATAAACTGGACTCAAAGCCCTGGTGCGGGGGCTGGCATGGGGCACAGGCAATGGCATGGAACCTGGGGCCTGCCACAGAATGCCATGGAAGGGGGGCAGTTCCACACTGCCTGGGCCCTGTCCCCCAGGACAGGTGAGGTGGGTCACCTATGGCCATGCCGGCCCCACCTCTCCCGGATAGTACTAATATGCCACCACCTCTCAGCCTGGGGGAGGATGGGCATGGAGTGGTAGACTGGCAGCAAAGGCTCTGAGCGGCAGGGAGAGAACTGAGTGGCAGAAGTCCCCACCTGAGGCCTGTCACATATGCCTCTGCAACCGTCCCAAGGTGGTCCCTGTCTGACAAGCTTTGCTGTGGTCTCCTGGGTCTCCAGGGGTAGTGTGTGGAGAGATGATGTGGGTGAGGCCTCTCCAGATCTACGCCTCCCCCTCCCCCCGCAACATGGCTTCTCTACCTATTTCAAAGGTTCAGCTCTCCCGTCCCATTCCTGGATTTGCTCCTTTCTCCCATAAGCACTCCGACCCAGAATTTGGTGGCAGTTCTATGTCCTGGCCTCAGTGAGCGGGACTATGGGGATGAAGGGCCTTTACCTTCTGCCACGTGGACAGGGAAAGGGCTGCGGGTGATGGGGGCACCGGCGAAGGCCACGTGCACAGTGTGGGGCCCCTCCATCACAGGTCTGTATGTGCATCGGAATGTGCTGTCGCCCTTGTCCTCCAGGGCCACATCCACTGTGTCCCGCCGGCCCTGCGGGTCCACGATCACCACGGCAACATCACCAGTCCCAGCCCCTGCCAGGCACAAAGGCTGTTAGCACCCCTACTCCGGGCACACAGAGCTCCCCTGCCCTGGGCCCACCCACCCCCCTCTGCCCCAGGTCCCCATCGATGTCACCCCATGTGGTCACGGACTGTCGGGCCACCACCTTGCTGGGGCCTGTCCTTACCCGCTGTGTAGATGTCAAAGTAGGTGGGTTTATTGGCCACATTGCCCACAGGCTCCAGGCCAGGGCCACGGGCTGACACCTTGTTGGCATCCCCCAGGGCCATGGCCACATTCACCTCAAAGGGGCTGCGTTCGATGTTCTGGCCGGCAAAGAGCACGGTCACCTGGGGACAGGGCGCAAGCTTCAGCTTCTTGGGGAAAGCACTTCTGAGAGGGGGTGGGCAGGCAGAGCAGTGCCAAGGTCGGGGAGAGGTGGGCCTCTGGGTGTGCTGGGGGGAGGGATGGTGCAAACTGCAGGGAGGGGGGTCCACTCAGCCAAAGGTAAGCATGTGACTGGAATGGGGAGGGTCTGCTGGGAGCTACCTTGTGCAGCCCAGCGACCTTGGGCACATAGGAGACTGCGTAGGTGCGGTTCTTGTCATTGTTGGGAACCACCTTGGCCTATTGGGAAAGAAAAAGATTGGAAGTCACAGTGGCCGTAGCCCCTCCTGCCCCCACAGTGCCTGGCGCCTCCCATGGCGATGCCTCCCCAAGTCCCCAGCACAACAGCGAGTGCTGGTGGCCGTCTCCAGGCCATCCCTGTTAGCCTGTGGTCTCTGGCTCCAAGCCCATGCCAATCCCTCCTGTCCCCAGAGGCTCTCCGTACCTCCTCAGTGTGGCCCTCGGGGTCCTCAATATAGACCAGCACCTCTCCCACGCCGGCGTCCACCGTCTGCACGGTGAAGTGGGCGGGCTGCAGCACAGTATTGCCATGGGGCTCGATGCCTGAAGGGCAGAAGGCAGGGCCGGGGTACTTAGGGCACTCCACCCTAGGGTGTCCCCAGCCACCCAGGAAGATGGTCAGGGGGCTCAGCACCTACCAGGCCCATAGGCGATGGCCTTCTTAGGGTTCAGCTGCTTGGAGCGAACAGGGGCCCCAGGTTTGAGTTTGGCCTTGGGGAACTGGGACAGGTAAGTCATGACAGAATGCTCATCCACATTGGGGTCCACAATCTCCTCGGGGGCAATCACCTGCCACAGGGAGGAAGGGGGTTAGAGGGTGCCCTTGGCCTAGCAACCTCTCTTCTCTCCCACGGTCTGACTGGGCCTCCTCAGAGACCCAACATGCATCCGGGGCCCTCTGGCCCTCTACTCTCCCCCCACCCCATCTGCTCGTGTACCTGGGGCACCCCGAGCCAGTCGTCCGCCTGCTGCATGGCCTCCCGGGCGTTCTGCACGGGCTGGTTGGGGTCCCAGGCCTCCCAGTCAGGGCAGAGGCCTGGAGAGATGGCAGAAGGAGATGACGATTAGGGGGGAGCAGCCAGCCAGAATGCAGGCATCTGCACGTCCCAGAGTGTCACACGCTGCAGAGTCACACCCACGACCACGTGGCTTGAGGCCCCTGACAGGCCAGGTTCCTGCTGACCCCCTATGTTCGGGTCCATCGGCTGGGATGCCCATCACTGTTGAGAGGCGCGCTCCCCCCAACCCCGAGCACCAACAATGAGGCCTTTCTGCCTTGGCTGACGCAGCCTGGCACCGGCCCTGCCAGTCAGCCTCCTGGCTGCCCGGGTCTCAGCACAGACCCTGTGAGGACTCCCCCTCACCCCAGCTGCCCCGGGAGTGCATAGGGGAGGTCGGAGGCCCCATCCTGCACATGCCCCGGACCTGTCCCCCCAGAAGGCCTTCTCACAGCCGGCCTCAAGTCCTAGAGTCCCAGGCACTTCCCACACCAGCTTTAGGGCAAGAGACACCCTCTCCTTCCTCACTGAGCACTTGGAGAAACTGAGGCACTTAAGGGCATGTTTTCAGAGAATGGGTTCTCTTCTGTGGCCAGCCAAAACCCATTCCTCCTAATGGGAAGAATGCTAAGGCGGCTCCAGATCACTCCTATCGAGGGGTACAGAGGTGAGGGGGTGCTTGGTCTGGGCCAGAGCTGGAGAAGGGGTGATGCTCACTGGTTGGGAGGGGGCCAGCTCAAAGGCTGGAATCCATGACCGCCGGAACAGCTGAGCTCACTGCTGGCGGCCTCACCAGCTGTGGGCAATGGCTCAGCAGCTGGGAATGCTTCCCAAGCGGCTAGTGCCCCCACCTCCCACCCGCTGCTCCCCGGCTGACCCTAGGCTGGGGGAGGACTCTCCCAAGGGGCTAGTAGCCCAGCTGATCCAGCCGAGTTAGAAGATGACCTATCTGCTTGGGAGGTGACGGCCAGAGACGGAGCTGCCTGTGGGGCAGGGCATTATTCTGTGATGCCTCCGTATCCTCGTGCGCCCTGAGCTGCCCCCACCTGACTAGGCCAGGGCCTACAGTGAGAGGGGGCAGGGCCAGGGGGTGCCCCACCAGCCTCGGCTCCCCCTCAATCGTCTCTTGGGGTCTCACAAAGAAGAACCTTCTCAGGGTCGAGCTCCTGGCCTTCTTGCTACAAGTTCTACCACACTTCCGTTCTCTCAGCTCAGCAGAAATGGTACCCCTGTGGCAAAGTACGAAGCTCATGGAGGAGGAAGCTGAGGCCTTGGGCTCTAGCTTGGTTCTGCCACAAATAAGCTGTGATCTTGGACGAGTCACCGGCCCTCTCTGGACCTCAGTGTCCCTGTCTGTAAAAGGAGAAACGCTGAACCTTTCACTGCAGCTACGGGATCTGACACTACCCGTCACGAAGGGCCTGACACCAGCAAGGACTCTCGGCTGGAGCAGGGGGCAAGCCCCCCCAGGCGCTCCGACTCCCCCAGCCCTGACACCGCCACTCCGACAAGCACAGGCCTCACCACCACCAGCGAAGGGCTCCGTGATGGGCCCACCGGCCCACTCACCAGGGGCACAGTTGTCTACCAGGGCACCCAGAGCCTTGCCGTCCTGCCAGTCGCGGTTGAAGTTGGTGATGGGCAGCTGGGGCACCTTGTTCTGGATCCAGCCAAGCAGACGCTGTTTGGGGGTCTGCTTGCGGGCATCCTCGTCATCCTCGTCTTCCCACATGGGCATGGAGATGGAGTAGTGCAGGATCAGCGTCCAGATGAGACCAAGGATGAGCTTCAGGTTCCCATCCACGATGGCCTTGCTGTCTGCAGAGCGGAGAGGACAGCGGGGCTCAGCAAGGGCGCTGCCCTCCACAGCTCGGCTCCCGAAGCTGCCCTTAGAGCCCTGGGGGCTCCCGAAGCTGCCCTTAGAGCCCTGGGGGCTTGGGGGGGAGGGGCCGGAACGCCTGATTCTGGAAACTGCCCCCTTCTCTGCCTACCAAAGTCTCACCCTCTGAGGAGGCCGGACCCAGAAGCCTAACATGGCCAGGTCCCTCCCTTCTCAGTGAGGCTGTTTCCCAATGTGCTCCCGCAACAGGTACTTTCACCTGTGGGACACAGGCCTCCATCAGGCTGCAGGTACCTGGGCGATTATCCGAGATTGTAAGCATCCTGGGGGCAGAACACTGTTTTGTTTCACTTTTTAACAGTTTTCTTAAGGTATGCTTGCCACCCAGCGAACTGCCCATATTCGAGTACACAACTGTACATGCCCCTAACGATATCACCACGTCATAAACATACCCATCTCTCCCCAAATTTCCTCACACGAGACCCTTTGTGATCCCTCCGGCCGCCCCTCCTTGTCCCTCCTTCCCAAGCAACAACTGGTCCGCCCTTGGTTACTATGGATTCATCTGCATTTTCTGGAGTTTTATACAAATGGGATCCTATAGTATGTGCTCTTTTTGTCTGGCTTCTTTCACACTAGATAGTATTTTATTACTCTATGCTCAGCTGTATTTATTTATTTATCAGTATTTACTTATACTCAATAAATACTGGTTGAATGGATGCATATCTTAAAAACTTAATTTGGAGAGGAATAAAGCTGACCTGGTTCCAGCCAAACTCTCCTCTGAACACCGTAAAAGGCGTTTGGAACAAAGTTCGGGAAGGAGGGAGGGGGTACAGTGCAAACTCGGGTAAGGCTTGAAAATCATATTTTTAAATGCTGGGGCCGGTGGGATTTCATACGAGCCAGAAGAATGTCACCCATGTGGACTCAAGTCTAGGAAGCTCAGACTCCCCACCCATCCCCTCCTTGGGGGAATGCCAGAACCCACTCCCCAAGATCTGGGGGACCTAGTTCTCCTTCCACAACCAGAAAGAAAGATCCAGGAGCCAAGGTGGACTAGAGCATAGATCTTTGCAAACCAGCTTATATGTAAGGACAATGCAGGACTGAAATCGTCAGCTTCCCTGAACACCACTTTTAGGAGGGGGCGGGGAGAGTCAGCCTTGTTTACTGGTGTTGCCTGAGAGATAGTAGAGGGTGGGGCTGGAGGCACCCCTGCCCCTTAACACATCTTTTCCTTCTCCTCTGGATATTGGGAGAAAGCAGCTAGGAAACCAAAGGCCTGTGGAACTCCAGAGTCCCCCACCCCACCCCCCGCCAGCCCCCCCCTCCCCCGGGAGGGGGAATCTCAGCCTGTGTGTCCCTCTGGCCCCCAGCTCTAGCCCCCTTGGCTCCCCCACCCTTTCACTGATTCATCCTTCCTTCCCCGGCAGCTCCCCAACCCGCCCCCACTCCCCCCCTGGCTCGGCCGCAGCACAATGGTTTGGCAGCTTTCAGATTCCATGACACACTCCCTCCCGGCCTCCCGGTGCTCCGGCGGCGCTCTCACAAACACACGGCCCGCAAGACTTTCACACAGTCTTGACACCCAGTGCCCCGCCACCTCTCATCACGCCGACAGCCTCCAAAGCCAGTGCGCACACACCCGGGAGCATTTCTTGCAAACTGGGGCCAGGTTTCTGGGAGGGAGGCCCTGAGGTTGCTGGGGTGGGAGGGGGTGTCATTCATATTTGCTTCAGGGAGAAGTTTCTCCCCAGGAACTGGCCCCGGGCCAAACAGCAAGTGGTCCACTTTGGCGTGAGGCAGGAGAGGGGCCTGGAGTCTCGCTCAGGAGCAATGACCTTCCCCTCCCTACCCGCCCCCGCTCCCCAGGCCAGGCAGGAGAGGGGAGCTCCAACCAAGCCAGGAGTCCTCCCTCACACCCGGAGCCACCACTTCGTCTCCAGCCTGGGGACACCCCCAAGGGGGTGGGAGGAGTCTGACAGCCAGTCCCCGAGGCCACCCCAGGCCTCAAGTGGAGGGGGAGGAGAGAGGGCCTGGGCGAGGAAGGGGCCGGCACAGCTGCTGCCCCCTCCAGCCCCTCCCTCAGCTGTTGGCTCTAGAAGGAATAGCAACTGTGGAACAGCTGCGGCACAGAGCTCATTAGGCCTCTTTGTTTGGAGGGGCTGAGGGGGTGGTGGGGGCCGGGTCGGGGTGCGGGGGTAAGGGCACACAGCTCGTCAACCTAGGTTGAGCACCCCTTCCTCAGGTGGACTTCTTGGCTCCCAGCTCCCAGGCTAGTCCTAGAAAGATAAGTGGGGAGTCTTTTTGACCCCTCCCGGGTGCCCAGATGCTCCATTTCAGTCCTGAGACAATGCCCAGCGGAGCCCCCCGCCCCCCCGCCAGTCCCTTCGACCACTACGTGGGTCAGAGAGAACCAGAAGAAGCAGAATGCCACCCCTGATGGGGAATCCCTTTACATCTCCCCGCAGGGCTGAGCAGCCCCACTGCCGGTGCCCCCTCCCCCCTCACTTAGCCTCAGGCCCGGCCCCGAATTGCTGACAGCTTATCTCATCAGCGCGAGTCAGCCACTTGGCCCAAATGGGGAACAGTTCCCCTTCCTCTCAGCGGGAACGGAGGAGCGTCCCTCCCACCCCCAAACCATCTTTTGCTTCTTCCCCCTCTACTCTGAGCCGGCCTCTCCACACTTGAGCCAAGGGGCCCAAGCCAGGCACCGTCATGGGGGAGGGGAGAGGTGTGCTTAGGAAGGATGAGGCCTGGAGAGGGGCCGGCCACCCCCACAGTGGGGAAGGGAGGGGAAGGCTGCAGTTTACTATAAAGTCCTGGTAAGGCCCCTGGTAAGGGACGGTACAGTCCCGTCATCAAATCCTAGCATTCAGGGGGGATGACAGCCCCAGAGCGGACTTGTCTCTGACTTCCCCCACACACTGTCTGATGCCCCCCCAACACACACACACACACACACACATTCATGAAGCCCTCAGCCCCACTACCAGGGCCCCCTCCCCCACCCCCTGTCCTCAGGCTTGTCCTTCTGGAAAGCTCAGAGACATCTGCTGTGTCACGGAGGCAGGGCTATTTCCAGGCCAGAGAGGGTGGGGTGAGGGGGCAGTATTGGGGCAGGAGGGGTAAGGCCTAGAGAAGGGACTGGACAGGGCAAAGGGCCCCGGACTGACTTCAGCTGCTAATTCAGGAGGCCTAGAGATGCCCTGACGGAAAGTGGGGGTGGACAGACATTCAATTATCTAGAGAAGTCTCTGGGGTACCCTGGTGGGGGAAGGCACCTGACCCTGTGTGAATCTCCTCTCCTGGGGCCCTGGGATGCACCCCAAGGGGCCCTTTCTTGTAAATCACAGCAAGACTAGGAAGAGCTCACCACAGGGTGAGAGGTAGGGGGTCTTCCCAGGGGTAGAGGGTAGGGGTCTTCCTAGGTTCCAATCGAGCAGGGAGCACTGCGGGGCTGGAAGGGGAGGAGCAGCCTCCGGTCACTCAGAGCCCACCCTTAGATCCCCCGCTGGGCTTAGACGCCTGGAGCGCCTCCCCACCCCCACCAGCACTGATACACCTTCCAAATCTGGTTACACTCAATGACTTCCTCCCTTCTACAGGCCTTCTCCTCCCTCCCCTCAACCCAGACGGTTAGCTGCAGCCAATCCAGGCCTAGGGGGTGGGCTGGGGCCTGGCATGGACTTGTGGGAGCACACTCCAAGGCAGGCTGAAGCAGGAGGTGGACAGGCAGGGGTTAAGATTCTCTGCACTCGCTCAGTGCCTTTTTAGGTTTCTGAGGCTGGGCCCGGCCTGCCCTGGCCCAGGGGCCTGAACCCAGCTGCTGAGCACATGCCTACGGAGGGCCCCCAGCCCCATGCCTGCCTGGCCACCAGCTCTCCCTCTGCCTCCCAGCCCTTGGATGCGCAGTGGTTGGGACCTGTCTTCAGCCGGGTCCTTCCCCTGTGGAGGTGCTGGGAGGCAAAGAAGCTATTTGTTTTGTTTAGGGAGTAGACACTCCCAGGAATCAGTAATGGGCACCGACCCTGCCTTCTCAAGCATGGGCTGGAATGGCCCAATGGCAAGAAAGGGGACAATGAGTCAGTCGGGTTGATGGGAGTGTGTGCGGGAAGGCTGAGCTGGAGGACTTAGGAACGGTAAAGTCGGGACCCCCCACACCTGGACACCCCTGGACGCCGCTATAGGGACAGACCTGTGTGCAGCAGTGCCCTTGTGGCCTGCGTGGCTGGGTGGGGAAGCAAGCCAGGGCCAGGGACCTGTCCCTGTCTCCCTCTGCTCCATTTCAGCTCCCCGCGCCCACCCACCCCTCTGTGTCCGCCGCCCCCACGGGCCGGCCCATCCTCGGGGCAGGTCCCCCTCCCCCCGTGCCCGCGCCCTGCTCGCCCACACTGACCGATGGACACGAGCTTGATGTGCTCGCGCTCGAGGAACTCGAGGGCCACGGACACGTTCTCCAGCTTCATCTGGCGGAAGTTGGGGCGCGGGTGGAACTTGCGGTACATGCGCTTCTGGCTGAGCACCTCGAGCAGCGCGATGAGGCGCAGCCCGTCGCTGAGGTCGCGCTGCAGGTCGGTCAGGCGCTTGCCCACGCACTTGAGGTGCTCGTTGCACCAGCGCGTGAACGTGTTCTGCTGGATCTTCTTCCACGGCGCGTCCTCCGCCAGGTCCTTCTCCGTGGACGGCATGTCGTCCACCTCGTCGCCCAGGCCGAGGCCCGCGGCCTCGGAGTAGCCGTTGTTGTTCATCATGCTGGCGCGGGGCTGGGGCGGGGACTGGGCTGCCTGCTAGGCCGGGGCTGAGCTCGGGCCGGGTCGCTGTCGGGGCGCTGTCGGGGCGCGACCGCGGGATTCGCTGCTCTGCGCTATCAACTTCTCTCGCGCTCTGGCTGGCGGGACTCGGCGGGCCTCCTCCGCTCCTCGGTCGCGCTCTCTCTCTCTCTCCTTCTCTCTCCCTCCGGGGGCGGAGCGGTGCTCGGGAAGTGCGGGCCGGGCCGGGGCGGGGGGTTTAAGAAGCCCCCGGGGCCGCGGCCCCCCCACGCCGCGCTTGCGGCCCCCGAGTCCACGTCAGAGCGCCGGCCTCCCAGGAATGCCGCCCGGCCCGCGGGTGGGGGCCGCGCCGAGCGGGCGGGCCCCGCCTCCTGCCTCCCCTCCCCCACGCGGTCCGGGTGGTGGCGGGAGGGGTTCGGGCCCCCCCCCACCCCAGCTCCAGCCTGGGTCTGCGGCCCAGGCGGGGGTCGGTCCCCGCGCCACTGCCGCGCTGTGGACGTGGATCGCAGAGATGGAAGGCGAGGGGTGAAAGCACGCAGTACCCCCAAACTAAGCATTGCCCGGGCGAGATGAAATACACCCCTTTCAGAGGCTGTGGGACCAAAGAGATAAATGGGGAAACTGAGGCCAGTGGTTGGAACCAAACACACTGAACTAGTGTTGACAGACTTTTCTGGATGAATTGGTGGCAGGGCCGTTGACAGGGCCTGGGAGTCCTGGCTCTTGGCCCAGGCTATTGTCCACCTGCAGGGGAAAGGAAGTGTGTATGCTTGTGTACAGATGGACTGAGAGGAAGCAGTGACACTGCCCAGGCCAATCAGGGAGAAGGCTTGGGGGTGCTCCACTTTACAGGTAGAAAAGCCTCGTTTGAAGCCCAAACCCAGGGTCCCAGGGGGAAGACTGAGGCTACCCCTGACTCAGTGTCCCTGTCACCAGCCCGCTTGGCCTCATCCTCTCAGAATGAAGCTGAGCTCAGGAAAAGAGTACCTGGTGAGTCAGACTGTGTCTACCCCCACTCCCCCCATGTCTGACTCAACCAAGGTGTTGAGAGGGCAGTGAGAGACTCTGCCCCATTGTGCCAGGGAGCCCCCTGGGCAATGTGCCCATTTGGGCCACAGGCAGATCCTTCCAGCAAAAGGGCGGGTTAGCCAGACAGAAACAGGGAGATCCCAGCCCAGAACAGCCAAGGGGAAATGTGACAAGGCTGGTGGGCAGGGAGAGCCCAAGCAAGCCAGCCAGAAAGCCTTAGGCAGGACTGGGCTCAGGGTAAGTCAAGGGTAGCTGGAGGCCTATGGTATGGTGATAGCAAGGAAACTGAGGCACTCGGACAGCGGAGCTGCTTGGAGCAAGGTGAAAGCGCCACAGAATGGACTTGTGTGGAGAATATGTGGTCTGCAGTTCTGTAGCGTACATGCGTTTCATATGTCCTGGTGCCCCTTTTAGGCCAGACTTCCTCAGCTGCCCCATCCTTCTTGACCCAGTAAGTTTGGGCCAGATAGTCCCCAACTCAGACTGTGTGGTGATTGGAATTGGGAAGGTTCTGGGACCTTTTCGGTGAATCATTCTTATTCCTCTTCTACCCGCAGGCATCATGATAAGAGGAGTGAGGATATCTTTGAGGGCTGTCTCTTCAAGGGCAGAATGAAGGCAGTCCCTGTTCCGGAGCTCAGAAACAAGTTCAGGGGTTTTGTGGGGGGCAGTGCTTATGGTAAAAGGTGTCCATGAATGATTTCTATCCCTTCTCATTAGGTAGGGAGGGGGAGGAGCAGAGAAGGAACCAGAAACAGAAAAGGGACCTGCTGTGTGTGACTTGGGAGGGGGGAAGCTCTGGGGGCCCTGATAGTGACAGGCGAGGTATAAATAGCTTGGGCCCTGTGGCTCATGTTCTGTCGGCTGCCTGTGACGAGGTGCTCAGGAATTCCACTCTCCTGTTGGCACCCCCCATCTCCAGAACGCTCATTCCCCCATGCCACCTTTGTCCCCTGTCCAAAACCAACCGTTGGGCATCAGTGCTGACCGTCTGCTTGAGAGGCTGAGCTCTCCTGTGGAGGGATGCCCGGCTGAAGACACATGACACATAGCTGGGTCTCACAGTGAAGTGTGTGCGCGCACGCGCGTGTGTGTAAAAAGGTAAGACATTTGATACCCAGTCTGAGGTGCCAGCTCAGGGTTCAGTGAGGTTGTCTTTGAAGCCCTGATGAAGAAGCTAAGGTACAGATCTGAGACATCGCTCCTGGGGAGGAGAGGAAGGGGTAGGGTGGCTTTGCTTGGAGCAGACAGGCTCTTTACAAACTCTACTGGCTCACAGTCCTGTTTTGTGGGCATTACCTGAGGTCCCCCAGTAAGTTAAGGGCACCTCTTAAGGGGCGGGGGGATTTCAGAGGGGAAGCCAGTGAGTGAAGAAAGAACTCCCAAGTATAGCCTCCCCCCTCTCTCCCCTCTCTCTGCTCTCTCTCCCCCTTCTCCTTCCCTCTGTACAAGAGAGGTTAGTGTGTGGCTCCAGGGGAGTAAGTGAATGGTTGGCAGACAAGGGTGCCCAGTGCCAAGGATGGTTCCCGGCATCCTTCTCACCCCCTCCCACAGAAACCTGAACCTGTTGCTCTCCAGGATAAATCGGGGCCTGACTCAGGCCCCAGCCAGCCAGTCACAGTCATCCTGACCCAGGCGCAGGCTGGTGACTCAGCCCTCAATATAGCCCATGAGCCTGGGCCCAGCCATGAAAGCTGGAACAGACCGTGCACAATGCTGGTCCTGGGGCCTGCCAAGTGAGGCCCTCCTCCCTGAGAAGGGCTGATGTGCTCCTCCCTGAGGCAGGCAGGGGCCCAGAGAGGGTTTACAGGGGGTTTCATCAGCTGAGTATTTGGGGAGTGCTGGCTGGGGCCACAGGCCGTTTATAGCCCCCTGACTCACCACCCACTGACTTGTCTCAGGAGACCAGGTTGCCTGGCCATTCACCTGCCCCTGCCTTTCCCATCAAGGGACACCAGCCACCGACACTGGCCATATTTAACTTGGGCTGAGTGGAATCGAAGTGACCAGGTCTAATGGGCCACGTCTGAAAATCTTGTTTTTCTGGAGCCAGGGACAATTCCACAGACACCTGGGATGATACCAGGTTGGCCAGACTCAGAGTTGGCACTCTGATCAATCAGTGATACCAACTGTGGCCCTTGCGTACGTGCCAGGGACTCTGCGGGAGGCTGGAAAGAGCCAGAGCCTGGTTCTAGCCTCTTCACTTCTGGCTCCTGCAACCTTGGCCAGGTCATAGAATGCTTTAAGGCTTCAGTTTTCTCATCTGTAAAATGGAGTTAATAGTACCCTCATAGGGTTTTTTTTGTTTTGTTTTGTTTTGTTTTTAATTGAAGATGAAAGGAGGTAACATGTGAAGAGAGACCTCTTTACTCTGGCAACGGTGTATCAACAGGACCAGGAGGCACAAAGCCCCCAGTGACGAAGGGGACGGGTTTCTTAAATGAGCCAACGGGGCAAGTGTCCTAACGGGAAAAGTTCTGTATTCTAAGCAAAAAGGCTGGGGAAAAGCAGGACCACTTTCCCTCCATTGCTCAGGCTCTTGGCTCAGGCCTGGGAAGGGACAGATAAAGTCCCAACTGGAGGCTAACTACCTACCAGACCATGACCTCCGTCTTGGTTTCTAATTCCATGTGAAATCACTGATCCTCACAGGCAGGTAATCTTCCAGCCCTTTCCACCACACGTTCTCCAGCCAACTTCCGGCTGGAGTAAAGTGGATAAAAAAACAGAAACAGGGTCTCACTACACTCAACAGCAAGAGGCCAGTGGTACCCAGTGGGTTGTGAAAGAATTTCTCCAATTTAGGTTACAACTGAGAACACACCACCTAACGTGACCGAGTGCAGTTCTTCTCGAATTTTTGCTGTGCATACTAATCAACTGGGGATCTTGTTAAAATGTGGATTCTGTGTCAGGAGGTCTGGGGAGGGGTGCTGAGGGTCTGCCTTTCTAACAAGCTGACCATGCTAGTGTGTGGACCACCCTTCGAGCAGCAAGAGGTGAGGCTAAATCAGTACGGTCTTCCAAGAGGAGTCATTAAAAGGGAAGCAAAAGGCTGCCCCGGGGGCAGCCATGTTTATAGGGGCTGGTCACGATGTTAGCACTGGCCCCAGGCCCCTTAGGAAAAGGCCAAGCGAGAAGTGAATTCGTTTCATGCTTAGCGGTGCCCACCACAGTGCCTCATCCTATAGGTATGCGTGGCTTTGGGTATTTGGGCTGATGGAACAAGCTCATTTGGCGCCAGGCAGCAAAGAGGCAGAGAGAAGGCTTCTAGGAAAGCAGCAGTCACAGAGCTGTTTCGCCCACGGTGGCTTATGAATACCCTCGGGGCCTCTCCTATGGAAGCATTCATATGGAACAGCAGATCACAAGGGGTTCCACAGAAAGGAAGGCAAACAAGGACTCTCAGAAGTTATCCACATCGTTCTGCTTGTCCCCACTTTGATCCACTCTCCATCCTCTTTGCCCTGCTCTCAATTCCAGGGGACTGACTTGACATCACCTGGGCTCTCTGGCTCCCAGCTGGGATTAGCCAGTGAGAGGGGTCAAGAGGAATGTGGCAGGTGGGAAGAGAGGGTGTCAGGCCCTGACAAGGGCTGTACCTCCCTCCCTGTGGGTCTGGGGTCCCTTTCCAGGCCTCTAGGCCTTGCTTCCTCCACCCCACTTCGGGCCCAGGCTGGGAGACACTGGCTGGTGCCCCGGGGACTTCACTATTCCTTGCTGGTTCTCTTAAATCTTCCTATGTACGGAGTCCCTTCAAGAAGCCCTCTTCAAGTTCAAGCTGAGTGTGTCACCTCTTCACTGTGTGACCCTACATGATCAGTAAGTCCTGAGGATCCCATGGGGAGTCACAAGGACCGAGCCACGAAGGCTTGCAAGCAGATCTTCTCAGGGCGCTCTTCTCACTGCAGATGGGTGTGGGCATGGGCCCCGGGGCAAGTCATTTGACCCCCCTTCACACAAAGAACCCAGCTCATTACATTCCTGTGCCTGGAAGAGCCCCTGGAGACAGGGTCTCTGGGTGCAGACCAGTGGGTCTGCAATCCGGCTGGCAGCACAAGGACTGTCCCCCCAATCCCTGAGGTCATCTGTAGGGTGAGAAATATTTAGGAACCAGATCCTTACGTGAGATCCCTGGTGGAAGGGGAACCGCTCTATCCTGATTGTGTTCTGAGGTGTTTAACAAAGAAAAAGCCACAGAGTCTCAGGTAATTAGGTTGATATTTAATGACACAGAACCCAGGTTCTTATACAAGGCAGGAGATGGCAGCCAGCAGCTCCCCATAACCTTTCCAGCCTGGGTGACTGAGGCTAAGGAGATGGGGGACACATGGGACACATGGGTGGGGTGGGGGCTCTGGCACAGTGTGTCCTGCCCAAAGCTGAGGGTAGTGGCCACTGGGGATCTGCCCCCTCGGCTGGCCCAGGTCTGCCATCACTCCATGAGGCAGAACTCTGACTCCTGCGGTCGCATGTTGGGTAACACATACAGAGCCACAGCCGCAATAGCCAAGAACACCATAGGCTTCCACATCCCAAACATGTTCTGTGGGGACCAAAGACAAATGGTGAGTGCCCAGCCTTTGGAACCCTTCCCTAAGCCAGAGAGTGCCCTGTCTACCAGCACTGGAGAGACATCAGAGACCTCACAGTCTGGTCTCCCTCACCTCCTGGGAAACCGGAGTCAATGTGGTCTTAGTTCCGGCGGAGCTAGGTACCCGGAAGTATCACCGGAGGTGGCTGCGTGTACTCCTGCCCCATGGAATGAGGACAATACCAGTTCCTGGGTGCAGGAGCGAGCTCAGGAGGCAGACCAAAGAGCATCCGATGGTTGCAATGAGAAAGGACCGAGCGCCACGGCAAGACAAAGAGGGTCAACTGGGGCCTTTGGGAAAAGCCTGACTGGCTTCCTGCAGGAGCCACAAACTCCGTCAAAAGGATAAGACCGAGGGGGCGGTAAAGAAAGCACGCCACAGAGTGCAGGCAAACAGGAGGTTCTTGGGAAGCCCAAACCTTTTTTGGACAATGATGTTGGTTTGAGGAAACTCAAGGAAGCCAGTCACCGGCCATGGGAGATAGATGCCTTAAAAGACCCCTGGGCACCACCGTACTGACGGACTTCCTGAGCACGGGCCGGTGTGCTGAGGCCTCCAGACACTGCAGGCCACAGTGAATCCCGCTGACTCGTGGGACAATCAGGTAGCATCCTTTAGGGAACATGAAATTGTGGGCAATACCTACTTGGGGAAATAGTTTCTGTTATTACTTTCGTTACTGTATTACTTGAAAGACAGGATTTGGGCTGAGTCGTAAGCTATGGTGTACTAACAGAAGGATGATTTTAGATGAAAGCAGAGCAGAGTACTGATGCTAAGAAGGCATTTGCTCAGAGAATAATGGAACTAAAAAGAGGATTTTAACCCCTCTACAAAAAGCAAAGGAGTCTACATTTGTAGAAACGGTTACTAAAAAGAGCAGCACAAATGAAACGGAAAGCGAAACAATGCTAGAGGTGGATATACAGAGTAATTTATATAATAACTGGAAAGGAAGCTAGAAAAAGCATTTACACGCTCAGATGTGTATGTCCTAATGCACACTGCTGAAAACGTCAGTCCGGTGTTCCTAAAGGAGGACAAAGCAGGGCGCCTGTGTGGTTCATTGGGTTAAACATCTGACTCTGGATTTCAGCTCAGGTCATGATCTCAGGGTCTAGCCCGGCATTGGGCATGGAGCCTGCTTGGGATTCTCTTTCTCTCTCTGCCCCCCTCCTTAAATAAATAAAATTAATTTTTTTTTTAAAAGGGACAGAGTTAGACCCATAAATGTGAACTGGTACCCTTTATACCAGTCAGAGGCAAGTTCCGGATGGCTGAGTGGAGGACTGGTCCCAAAGGTGTAAATCACATCAGGCTTTCCTTTAGACTAGGTTACTAAGTTGACAGATAAAAGAAATGTTTTTGGATTTTATCAAGACATCTGACAGATCTTCCATGATATCCTTGGTGAGAAGGAGAGGAAGTAAGAGTATGGTCCCGGCACAGGCTGCTATGTGACCATTTGTTAGGGGACCAGTGAACTGGATAAAAGAGAGCCTGGAGAGACAACACCCCAGAGGCTAGGCCCTCATCTTTTTTTTTTTTTTTTTTTTTTTTTAAAGATTTTATTTATTTATTTGTCAGAGAGAGAGAGGGAGAGAGAACGAGCACAGGCAGACAGAGTGGCAGGCAGAGGCAGAGGGAGAAGCAGGCTCCCCACAGAACAAGGAGCCCGATGCGGGACTCGATCCCAGGACGCTGGGATCATGACCTGAGCCGAAGGCAGCGGCTTAACCAACTGAGCCACCCAGGCGTCCCATAGGCCCTCATCTTTAATGTGCATGAACAGGGTGCCTGGCTGGTTACATTGAAAGAGCATGTGACTCCTGATCTCAGCGTGGTGAGTTCAAGTCCTAGGTGGGTGTAGAGATCACTTAAATAAATAAAACTTAAAAACAAATGCACATGAATATATGAAGGTAGGCTGGTCACCCTTGAGGAGGATGTGGAGCAGGCAGGGAAATGCATAATTTGAAACTACAAGGTCAAGATTAAAAAAAGAAAAAACAAACCCAAACTCCACATGTTAGTATACCTAATAGGAATGAATAAAAAATTCTGCCTCAGATCCAAAAAGTCAAGTGCAGGGAGAGAATGGGGAGAGGACACTTAGCATATGCGATACACAAAGGGGCCTTATAAACAATACATGCAGAGAGTTAACAACATGACATTAGTTGTCAAGAGGGCTGATGCCACTGGAGACCGTCTGAAGAAAAGTGTGGAGTCTTCCTAATTACGTGGAAGCAACCATGGAAAGCTGTTCAAACTGAGGAGAGACAGCAAGGGGGAAGCAAGGCTGGAATTTTAGTTGTTGCTAACATTAGTCCTTAGAATCCAATTCACGATTCACTGGCAGTATGACCTGACCTCGCCATGCCTTAGCTTTATTACATATAAAATGATAACAAAAGCCACCTCGTTGGGTTCTTGCAAAGATTAAGTGAGTTAATACATGTAGGGTGATTAGAACAGTGCCAGGCGCATAGTATGTAGAATGTAAGTATAGGCTTTTTAAATCATTTACGAGGTGTTTCATCATTTATGAAGCACTTTCATAAACATGAACTCCTGTGATCCTCATGTGAGGAAGGCAGAGGTTTTACCATTCTTTGCTGTCATTTGAAGAAGTTAATTTTCCCGTTCCGCATTTTGCCCACTGGGACTAAGCGGTAAGAGGCAGAGACAGACGGGGCCAGGTTCTCACCTGTCAGCCACACTTCCTACACGTTACACTGCCTTAGCTCCTGGACTGGGAGTTGCAGAGTGGGGCACAGCCAGGCTTCCCAAGAGCACCCTGACCCTGGAGCTCCTTCTCTCACTCTGCGTGGGCTTGGCTGAGGAGCAGAAAGCTTATTGCCTAATGCTTTGGGTCTCCTCCTCTAGGTACTGAGAAATCTCGATGCAGACTGGGTAAGAACAGGTATAAGGAGGGACCCTATTGCTAAAGGAGTCAGACTGTTTTGGGGAGTAAGTGGAACATTTTAAAGAGGAGAAAGGATGAAGAGGGAAAAAAATAGGAGAAGGAAGGAGAAAAGGAGGCTGGTGAGTGCTACCAACGTACGCATTAGCCGCTGCCCCAACCTGTGCATTAAGCCAGCTGCACTCCATTTGCAGGGGTGAGAAGGGAGGGAGGGAAGTGGAGGCAGGGAGCAGGGGAGCAGGAGAAAGGAGCCAGAACAGGCCAGGAGAGAATACTTTATGGGTTCCAAAGACAAGTGGAAGAACCCTAGGGCTCTATCTTGGGCCCCAAGACCACATTCTGCCTCCTAAATTTGGTATCCTGTTGACAGACCAGATTACATGGACCGAGGCCAAATGGAAGGTGCCCAGAATATGTCAGCCTTGGTGCCCTGAGAATACTTCCGTCTCCTTATTTTCCCCAGCGCCACACTCTGTCGAGAGAGCCTGGCTTGGGCAGGCAATTACAATAGAGTCTGGACCCAAAAGGGAACTAGAAAATATTTCCTGGCATTCTGGTTCTGATTCTTCTGAAGACCAGAAGCCCCACACCAGAGAACTTCTCAGTAGAAAGAACACAACATGGTAGTGGTCCCTGTTCCATTTTCACCACGTTGGAGGACAAACGGAGCCTGCCCTCAGACACAGCCCCTGGGCAGGGGTTAGGGTTGCGGCTGGGTCACAGCGCTTCAGAATTCCTCTCTCAACCAATGGGGGAGGCAGCGATGCCTTGTTTTGCCATCCTGGGTGGTGATGGTGGTGAGAGCTTGGTTCTGGGGCCAAACAAAGACAAAGAGCACTCAGGCAGCCTCACAGACAGACATCAGCTCGTCAGAAGCGATCAGGCATTTTTCAAAGTAGCAACAGTGCCGAGATCATCCAAAGTTTTCCCAGCCACAGGACAGAAATTCAAACCGTGTCAGCAGTATGCATTCTAACTCACTGTATGTTAGGAAGACATGCTCAGAGGTGCTACGGGCTCTGCAGTAGCCCAAGGAGAAACCAAGGCTAAACTTCAGCCCTGAGTATCCTACTGTCAAATGCTAAAAGCAAGAAGTAAGCAAGTGAGAGAAAGGGGGAAAGAGGAGAGGCCAGGGCAACCTGCACCCTCCCTCTACCCCTCGGAAGGAGAGGACTCGATACCAGTACCTGTGTTAGGACGACGTCTCGGCCCACCAGCACCAGAGCAAAGCCGATATGACCACCAGGCCTACAAGAGGCAAGGAGAAGATGGGGGGCTCGGGGGCAGGGGATGGCTGCAACATATCAAATGAGAAGGAAGCACAAGGAGAGGCCAGGAGATGGGGGGGTGTGGTATAAAAAGACAGCAACACATGAGTCCAACGGATAATGAAGATGAGAAAACAAAGGGGAAAGAGAAAGAGATCAAGAGGTTAAACAACAGGCAGTGAGGGCAGCCATATCTCTCCTCTGCGCCCAGGCCTGGATCTTCCCACTGGCAGCCTGTGGAGAATGCAGACCTGAATGGGTTAAGCAGCTGCTCAGGGCCAAACCAGGTGGTGGGGCCAGTCTCCTGGCTTGCCACACCCCTCGCACATCTTGTCAAGCAGGGGTGATCTGCACTATACCGTTCTTACAGGTCAGCAACTCTGAAAAAGGGAAGCTCCGAGAGTGAAGCCGGGCTCTCCAGATGAGGAGGACATATACTTCTCCTGGGTCACTCAGTCTCCTGCCTGGCCACCTGTCCCTCCGTTAGCCCACATGCTCTGGCGGCTCTCCACCAAATCTCCCATGTCCTGGGCCCTGGTCCCTGCGATCCCCGAGGAGTCTAATGCTGTTGTTGTGAGACAAAATGCACTAGAACAGGCTGACAGTGGAGAAGTGCTAGTTCTTCGACCGCAACGATCTTCCAGAGAGAAAGTGAATTCGCACACAGTAACGTACACCATTAGCGCGGCCCGCAAAAGATGCAGGACGCGAGGAGGCAAAGGGATGCCTCCACGTGTAGACAAAAGGAATGCGCTTGACTTTGAAGTACAAGGATCCACCTGGCGTTTAGAGATGTGGCACCCAAGGCAAGGAGACTGCAGAGGCTCTGAACCAGTTGTGGTGAAATATGATGAATTCGAAGAAATAGAGCACTGGGGAAGAGGCTGCGGTTGCTCCTACTTTTTACATCCTAAGTAATGGTCCTCTGCCACAAGGTTAACAGAGAACTGCACGCTAGATCCTTAGCCACTGCCGCAGACTAAGCTGCCGGAAAATTCCAGATAGCCTCAGAGCTGACTGGGACATCCCACCACAAGAGACTTATTTTCTTCCCCTGTGTTTAGAGAGACACAAAACTGAGATTCAGGAAGTACTCACTCTTCAGGGAATCAGAGCCCCCAGTCAACCTCAACTAGTGCAGGAATTCGGAAGTACCAGTAGTTAAAATATAGACATACTTCTGTACGGTTGGTACGTTACCCAGAATACTCTCATCCCAACCTCTCAGATCCAGCAGGTAAAGGGTTAGGGCTCTGGCTGCTCTCCCCAGACTGGCCCATAACCCCTGCTGTACAGACTAAAACATTCTATTACTTCGGACAGCCCCCCACCATGCCCTGTAATCCACAGAACCCTGAGCCACACCTGCCTCCCCACACTCCTAACAGCCAACAAAGGTCAACCTAGCAGGGCAGCTCCAGGAGGCAGGCCCGGGCGACTGACACAGGCTGGCCAAGAGCCTGAAGCGGGTTTCACACCGTGGGCTCCTCCGTGCAGCACCAAGTGAGGGGCGAAGAACCTCCTGATGGAAGGAACAAGGGCAACTGGAGGCAAAAGGAGGGAGGACTGCAACGGCCCCACCCTGGCTCCCAGAAAAGGTGATCTCTGAGATGGGTCCACAGCAAAGTACTCTCAACCCACCACCGGCCGTGAGGGCCCACTTCCAGCACTCCCGGCTCCATCTCCACTCTCCCCAAGCGCGGGGCCTCAGGGCTGGCGGGCCTGGACGCTCCTGCAGAAGTCCGTCCTCGGGCCGGGTCACCCCGCCACACCAGGGCACCTGAGGCCCAGAGCCCACTTCCCACTCGATCCAGCCTTCGACCGCAGTTACCTTTTTGCTCTCAGAAAGCCTGAGGGGGTTGTTTCCCTCTGAAGCTTCGGGGCAAGCGTCATTGTTGCTCTCATCTTTGCGGTCTTCTTCCTTGCCCTCCTGCTCTTGGGACTCTTCGTAACAGCCCTCCTCAGCTTTTGGGGACCTCATCTCCGTAGGCTCTGACGGCACAGAAACCAGTTCATTGCAGGAGTCCTGCTTCGTGTCCTTTTTGATTTCCTCCTCCTTTTCCTCCTCTACTTCCTCTTGTAGTAGACCATCTAAATCCGTGTGGCTGGCCTTGTAGTACAACACCACCTCCAGACTCTGTGGGTGGAGGCAGGGCAGGATGGGGGCTGCAGTCATCACAAAGATGCCTACCCTCGTGACAAAGCCGGGCTAGCTCAAGAGCGCTCGTGTCCCCAGCCTGGCACAATGCGCAGGCGGCACTGCGTCTCTCCCTGTGCAGCGTGTGGAGGGCAGTCATGCCCGGCCTCTCTGGACCCACATGGCCATCTGGCCACTGGCCATTTCGGACAGCCACCAGAGCTACAATCTTGGGCTCTGCCCCTCAACCACCACCTCTGACCCCTGCAGGGCGATGGCGACTCCTACTTTTCCCTTCTCCTCCTCACTTCTCACGTCTGAGTACGCCACTGCTTCGAATACGTTCCTTCTCTTCATCCATTTGGCCCCCCTCTTGGGCATGTAACCCAGGAAGAAAAGGGGCCCCAGGAGATGGGGCTGAGCTCATGGGAGCCGTCGTCCATCCTGGGGGCTGTGGTCCTTTGGGGCTGTGTCCCCAGGTATGAGTGGTCTGTGTTCCACTCCCCTTAACTTCATAGGAAAAGGGTGTATGGAATTGCTACCAAGCAGGAACTACTTTAATACAATAAAGAGACCAGAAGCTTCTCTACAAATACCTCATCTGGCCGGGATGGTGGTGGTGGTGATTTTTCTAAGATCTCCTCTGCCTTTCTGCTTATCAGGCTCCTAAGGTTATCACTCACCTTTTTGCTCTCACAGCTGCCCTCAGAATCGGCCAGGCTTGGTTTGGTCCCCTTTTTATTTTTAACCCCGTTGGCATTTTTGTTCATGTTCTCGTTGCCACTTTTCCCCCTGGTTTCTCTGGCAATGGAGGGCTTCTTCTCCTTGAGCTGGCGGAGCTCTTCCTGGCAACACTGCAGCTGGCCCTCCAGCTGCTCCTGCATGGCCAGAAGCCGCCCCTGCTCGTCCATGCTCTCCTGGTACTGCAGCTGCAGCTCCCGCAGCTTGGCCTGCAGCTCCTTGATCTGCGGGGGGCGGATGGCCGGTCACCTCCAGCCCCGCCCAGCCGGTCAGCCAGGCCCTGCCCTCCGGTCCCTGCCTCACAGTTTGCCCTGCTAAGGCCCACGGGGCAGTAGACAAGAGAGGAAACGTTAAACTGTAGGATACTATGAGCCTCTAAGGCGGTTTCAGAAATAGCTGACGATTTACATCTAATGGGGTCAAAAAAGGATGATTTAAATTACGTTTTCACCGGGACCTGTCTGGACGGCTTTTTGATGGAAGCCCCGGCTTCGCCCAAGCTATTTCTCTGCCAGGTGCAACTACCTGAGGAAACGTGCGGTCCGCTCCTGAGACTGTGCCTGGGCTCCTGCACCTCACCCTGGAAACAGAGGCAAATTGCAACCCTGCTCCCTAATTTCTGGTTTTGTCTTCCCTGACTCCCGGCATCACAGTCTCCCTGGTAGGGGACAATACTAAGCAAGCGAGGCCCTCGGACTGACTGTGGTCCGAACTCTCCCGTGCACACAGTGAGTCCCGCTGGACTGTGGACTACTCCTGGGCAGAAAGCACGCCTTCTGTCCCATCCCTCACGGACGCAGAGCACCCTTCTCGGCATCGTAAGGGATCCGAAAGGAGGTGAGGCTCTGCCCTCAAGGTACTTACAGTCCAGTTGAAGAGACAAGTACACCCAAAATAACTAAAGGTGAAAAAATACATCTCTGTAGAAGTGCTCTGGGACACAGCCAAAGAGAGAAGTGGCAAAAGGAAAAAGAGAAAAATTATTCGGAGTCCTGCTGACGAGTATACCTGAACACAGCAAGCACCTGAGCAACGCCCACCAGGGCTACGGCAGGGCACCCGGATTCCGCCCCTGCTCTGACCGAGAAGGCAGCAGCAACGACACAGAGCAGGCAGAGGGCTCTCAGCACTCCTTCCTCAGCCTCCCTGAAATGGCCAGGGCCTGTGGCCTGCTCTGGTTCTAGGGACTCCTAGAAGAAACCTTGCCTCCCAGATAGCAGTTACCTCACTCTTGTCCTTGTCGTTGGGGGAGGCAGTGGGCTTCTCAAGACTTTCCATGCATTCCTTGAATTCCTTTTCACAGGCGGCCAGCTCTTCCTTCAGCTCTTTCTGACTGTCTACCAGCTTTTGCATCCGGTCTTGCAGCCGGTCGTGTTCCTCCTGGCTGAGCTGGTACATGGCCTGCACACCCTGCAGCTTGATCACCACCTTGGCGACCATGTCCTCACAGTGCTGCGGAGGGCGAAGGAGTAATGACCTTGGGGAGAAGGACCTGCCCTCCGGCCCACTCGCTTCCCTAGGCCCCATCCTGGGTACGGAACAATGCGGCAAGGATCTGAAGCCGCCCCGGGGCTAATTCTGCGTTTGTTCCCGTAAAGCACCATCGCTGTGATGGGAGCATCTCCGTGTTAGACAGACAGGGTGCCTCATCCATTGCCAGTGACACAGCTTGGCTCTGACCCTGCTGCCCTCCTCACTTCTCGAACCCTTCCCTGGTGACTTATCTCTTAGTAAGACGGGAGGCTTCTCTCTCCCTGTCTGACCTCTCAACTGGCTACTTTTACCTCCATGTCTTCAGGCTCATTGGGTTCACCATTGGTGCTGCTACTGTAACTCTTGTGACCGGTGTCCGAGCTAGTGCTGCTGCCGTAACTCTTCTTGTAGATGACGCTGCTGCTTCTGCTGCCATAATTCTTCTCACTGCTCTCCTGGGCACTGCTGCTGCTGTTATAGCTCTTGAGAAAGCTCTCACTGCTGGCCTGGGTGCTACCGTAGCTCTTGTGATAGCTCTCGCTCTCCTCGATGCTGCTCCCGTAACTCTTGCGATAGTTCTCGCTGCTGGAGGCCACGCTGCCATAGTTCTTCTCCAGGCTCATTCTGCTGGAGGGGGACTGGACCTGGAGCAGCTGCATTTCTTCCAGGCAGAGCTGCAGGTCGGCCTGCAGCCTCTTCCGCTCCTCGAGGAGCCTGCCCTGCTCCTGCTGCAGCAGCTCCTGCTCAGCCTGTGTGCCCTCGTAGAGCACCTGCAGAGCCTGCATCTGGGCGATGATCAGCTTGGACTGCGAGGGGGGGGGAGACATTACCATTACTCTAGACATTGCCGTCCTTCTCGACACACCCCTCCTGGGGCGGATGTGTGAGAGCCCGCGTCAGACACCGGCACGCCTACACCCCAGTCTCCCCAGAGCCTAGGTCTGTAATTGCCTGCAGCTACTGGCATGTGTCAGTCACTTGCTCACAGGGGAAAATCCACTCAGGAAAGATAATGTGCAATTTCCAGGCTCCCATTTCTGCTGGTTTCTAAACTATGGTACGTCCCTCTCTCCTTGAGGCAGAGCTGGAAGAGTATCAACAACACTCTGGCTCCCTACCCTACCCTCTTCACAGTCAGGCCATACCCATTATCCTGACCTTGGGGCTCAGGCCCTTCCCTTGCCCCCAATTCTAAAATCAGCCCTGGCCTTGACTGTGAGCCTGCAAGAATGCCTCCCTCAGAAGATGTGGACCTGGAATTAAGGTCTCACTACAAGTTCCTGTACCTCCTGCCCCAATTCTGAATCTGGCCTCTGGGCATGTTTCCCAGGGCTTCTGGGCCTGGCTTCTTGGCTGCTGATGCCCAGGATGAGATCTGATCGGTTAAGGAAATAGTTATACCTGGTTCCTGGTCTCTGTGTTATCCAGGCTGAAATCTGAGGCTCCTGGAATCTGACCAAGTCTCAGTTTGGACTTCTGCAATTCCCTGGTTTTCCCTATCCAGGCTAATATTTGAATGAATAGGGCTAGCCTTAAATTGAAACTGTGGGGGCACCTGGGTGGCTCAGTGGGTTAAAGCCTCTGCCTTCAGCTCAGGTCATAATCCCAGGGTCCTGGGATCGAGCACCACATCGGGCTCTCTGCTCAGCAGGGAGCCTGCTTCCTCCTCTCTCTCTCTCTCTGCCTGCCTCTCTGCCTACTTGTGACCTGTCTGTCAAATAAATAAATAAAAAATCAAAAAAAAAATTGAAACTGTGTACCTGCTCTTCCTTGCCTACCCTGAGACCTCAGACCAAATGCATCCCCCAGCCCCAGACTTAGGGGGAAATCTCTACCAGTGTGACCTCAGGGGCATGACCCCTTCGTGGTGCTTGCAATGCATGGATTCCCTAGTCTAACGCTCTTGACCCGGCTGTTACTGCCATCAAAGTTCCAATGAAGACAGTGTGGCCAGTAGCAGGAATGCCACAGGCTAGGAATTCTTCCCTTGGAAATGAACGGCCCCAGATCTGTCTCAGATAGAACACCAAAAGGTTATAGATTCTGATGGCTGAAAGTGTACTACTCAATTATCAACCAGCTCATGAGAAAAGGATGATATGCCTACAGTTGGTCTCAAGGAATCCAGACAAACACTAAGTTGATAGTATAAATCTGGAAAATGATGTTGAAGGGGCATCAAATCACGAGGTGATTAGATTCCCGAGTCAGCCCGGTTCTCAGTGTTCGCAGAGCTTCAGCTGGGTGTGTATCTGACTGAGGGCCTCAGGCCATAGCTAAAGCCACATCTTCATGAGCCCATGCGTGGTCATGGCTGAAGAAGGGGGCCTTAGTCTCATCCTTACTCTTGGTCAGACAGACCTTCCTAACTCTGACCCGTCCATGGAGCCCTCTGCCCTTCCACGCCGTTGGCCCCAGAACCGTCTCCCTGCCTCTTGCTCTGTTACCTTGTCACACTTGGAGGACTTAGGTGATTTGGAATCATCGGGATTCTCCAACACATCCCGGAAACGAGACGTTTTGAAAAAATGCAGCTCTTCATGCAGAGCTGACTGTTCCTTGAGCATGCTTTCTTGATTCTGCACCAGTTTTTTCTGCCCTTCCTGCATTCCTTGGTAGAGCAGCTGTAGTTCACACAGGTCTTGTAACTTTGTAAGGAGCTCCTGACTCTGCGAAGTGGAGTAGGAAGGAAGCGGGCAGGAACTGTGGTAGCTACAGGGGAAGACCCGTGCCTCCTTCCCCTGGGGAACCCTTCCCTTAGGAGTCTCTGGGTTGGCTCTAAATGGCCATCTGGGACAGGGTCGCAGCGGGGGAGCGGTCTTTTATGGAGAATCGCTAGGTGAGTAGCCACGATCTCATGTGTTTGCAGGTATCCTGTAGTTTACAAAGTTCTCTCCAAGTATATTTTCTCCAGAGGGACTAAATACCCAGAGAGAAAATGCTGGACAGATTCCAGACTGTACTATGTATTTTAAGACTTAAAACACTAATCAGCTATACTGAACTTTCTGGTTTAAAGAGACTGGTGACAAGGAGGGGCTGAGACAGCAAGGAGAAGGTTCAGTCCCCGCCCGGTTCTTTTTCCCAGGCGTAGTCACACCATGGAAGCTTCTCCAAGCAGCTTCTCCCTAGTTAGCCACGGCTCCCCGGCCAGGGTTACCTTCAGGAGGAGCCCAGCTTTGGGCAGTGGGAACGAGAGCCTGTGCAGCTCTTCTTGCAGCTGCCCCTGCTCCTCCTGCATCCTCCTCTGATCCTCTAGGAGCTCGCACTGCTCCATCTGCAGCTGCCCCATCTCCTTCTGGCTGGCCTTGTACTCCTCCTGCAACTCTGTCAGTCTGGACAGCAGTGCGTCACACTGTGGGCGGGGCAGGCGCGGAGGGGCGGTTACTTGGTGAGCCGCTGCTCCGCACTGTCCAGCCGGCAGAGCCCTCCTGTGCCCTCCTGGCCCTTGTGGTTCACCGGGGACTCCTTCCCTGTACAGTCCCCTCGGACTGACCATCCCAAGCCACGCTGCGCCCATACAGGTTTAGACACCGAACTTGGGAAACCCCAGCAGGCTGCTCAGGACCGTCTGGCTGTGCTGCAGATTCATCTACTGGTCCTTCTGAGAGCCCTGTGAGGGCAGTGTTACCAACACCCCTCCCTTCTCATGACCCCTGCCCTTTTGGCCCTTCTCTGTGATACACACCATTCTCTGGCCCTGCTGGGAATTCTAGTTCCTGTCGCTGTCATCAACCCCAACTGGTTTTATACCTAATTATACTCCTTACCAATAAAAACGTCACCTGATCTGTTCCCATTTTTGTTTTCATAATCGTCTTTTTAAATCTCCAGAAGAATATGGGCTATTGCTGAATTTGGGTTGAGAAGACTAAATTATCCCATGATTCCAAGAACTCAGACCTTCTAATATCAAACTCATCTCAATGCTGTTTTTAGGACAAGGGGAAAAGCTGGCTCCGTGTCAGCCTGCTTCTCCTGCTCCACAGCTGCTTCTACTAGGAGCAGAGGGCATGTGCAAAGCCACGGACACTCTGGCCTCTAAACTGAGCAGGGAGAGAAGGAAATGTGAGCCTGGGTGTGGAAATGTGAGCCTGGGTGTGGAAATGTGAGCCTGGGTGTGGAAAGGCAGGCGGGCTGTTGGGAGTGGTCGAAACAACCTCCCCATTCTGGGTCTTCCAGAGGCCCTTCCCCAGGGACATAGCCTGCTGCTGGCTGCTCTGGCAGAAGGTGACTTGCTCCACCATCTTTTGAGAATCTTGTGCCTTTTCTCCACCATGTTTCAACACCTTCCATTTCCTATCAGTGATCAGGAGCTGAAAGTGTTCAACACAGGGTAACTGATAATAGCTTGCTTTTTACACACTACGGAAGAAAAGAAAATGAATAAGGAAGGCCTTACTTATCACTACCAGGATTTATTACTACAAGCCAAGTGCAAAGAAAATAGTATTCTGTTCAATTTAAAAAGGGTAAAACTCAAGTTTAGAGAAATTCGCTCCTCTGAAGTCACAGAGTAAACCCTGGAAGTACCTAAGTCCTTTGAACACCCAATCAGCACTCAGGGCATAAGACCACGTCATCTGACAAGAGCATCTGCAACTGCCTGAGAAACCTGGACCTTCTTTTTCTGGGTCTAATGAGAAAAGCTGTATATGTGGGCTTTTGTGTATGTCCTTCTCCACAAATGACAAGATATCACTGAAGTTGTAATAATGAAGGATAAATGTCGACACACATGGAATCAAGTGCAAAATCTTCAGGTGTTCAGACTGGATCCAGCTGTAGTGATCCTACTAAGCTGTAGCTTGGGCCCAAAGTCAAGATCAAGGCAAACTGTTTAAAAGTTAACAGCTAACGGTGGGACTCTGCCTCCGTTTCCTGACTGGCACACTCAGCTGTGACTTGACAGGGAGCTCATCAAGCCCCTCGGCTAGATGACTTCACCTTTTGCCCTCACACCTCCTCTCTCCAGAGAAAATACCCAGGAGATCTCACCTCTCTTAAGTACAATTACCTTATTAGCACACTTCCCCTTGTCCTCTGGGATGGGTGTGGTGGTCTTGAGCTCCTTCAGCTCCTGCTGACAGAGCAGGAGGTCCTGCTCGAGCTGATCATACATGTACTTCTGCCGCTCCAGCTCCTCCTTGCTGGTCTGGTACAGCCGCTTCATCTCCTGAAGCTGGGCATGCATCTCTGCATTCTGGGGTAGGGGAGGCAGGCCCCGCCATCATCCCAGGAGCCCCTGCAGCTGCACTCTCTCCTCTCAGATGGGGACTAAAGGATCTGCTTGGTCCTTTCTGGTCCCAATTTCATCCCACTGGGGGCTTCCAGAGAGGGACCCTAACAGGCTCTACACAGGGACCTTCTGGGGTTTCCTTTTCAGGCAGGTGGGGAAGAAAGAGAGCTACCTTTTTATAGGCTGAGTTTCTGATCTAAAATCAAAGGAAGTGGAGAGCGTCATGACTCTCCGAGATCACCTTTCTGTTAGGTACCTCTTTGTGCCCCGCACCAAGGACTGGACCACAGAACTCCTACAAAGCCCCCTCCTCAGTCCTATTGCTCTCACAGAAGATTCCATTTGGCTACATTCTCCCTCACCTGGAGTTTCTTTTACCTTCTCACTGCTCTCCTGGAAGGAGGCCACGATGTCCTTGAGGCGCTGTACCTCAGCCTCATGGTAGTGCAGGTCCCCGCACAGCTGGCGCTGCACCTCCAGCAGCTTATCCTTCTCGCACGTGATGTGCTGGTACTGGAGCTGCAGCTTCTGGAGCCGGCAGAGTAACTCCTGCGGTGGAGGGGGCTGTGGCAGTGGGCGCAGCGGGCCCGCCGCGGGCAGCACCTCGGGGGTCAGCAACCCGCTCGCTCTTCCGCCCGAGCCCCGCTCGGACACGGCCAGTCTAAGGCCTGCCTTCTCCCTGCCCCTGGCTTACCGGCTGTCCTCTCGTCCAGTGCAGCACTCGTGGGAGGCTGGAGGCCCCTGTCGGGGGTGCGGCCCGGCTGGCAGCCGCCCTTAGTCTAACTCCGCTCTGGGCCACCTTCCCCAAAACCTCTTAGCACCTCAGTTGCCCCTCACCTCCTTTTATTGTTACCTTCTCACTTGGGCTTTCTATGCCTGTGGATTTCAAGACTTTGAGCTGCCGGAGCTCAGACTGAAGCTGGAGCTGCACCTTCAAGAGCTCATTCTGCTCATCCTGGCTAGCATCATACTTTTTCTGCAGGGCACAGAGTCTGGTCTTCAGCTCCTCGTTCTGTGGTGGGAGGATGTGGGCAGAACAGTTACTCTCGAGAAACAGCAGACCCCTCCACAGACCAGTTTGGGTCCTTTCCAGACGCAGACATCTTGAGGAGCTCCCACAGGTCTACGGTCGGGTTTGTTCTGTGAGGCAGACACTCGGTAATGACTACCATCTCTAGAATGCAGCGCTACGTGACTTCTCCAGCTGGTCTCCAGCAGACTGTACCCTCAGTTGAGGGCAAGAGTCAGCAGAGCATAGCCTTGCCCTGCGTCCATCCTTCCCTGAAGCCGCGACTCCACGGAGGCCCTTCTGCCCTCCCCAGACGCCCATCCCCTGGCCATGGTTACCTGTGTGGCATTGTGGGAAGTCTGAAACCGGAGCACCTCGTTCTGCGCGCACTTGAGCTCCCTCTGCAGCCGCCGCTGCTCCTCCTCACTGGTCCGACGATGATGCTGTAGTTCTTGCAACTCACAACACAGCTCCTTACACTGCGCAGGAGATGGAACGGAAAGGCTGACTGAGGACAGGTGCCATGTGCCCTTTGAGAACAGGCTTGGTGGGGGGCAAAGAATAGCTTGGAGAGAAAATGACCTTCGTTTCACTGGAATGTTCACATCAGGCAAGCAAGCGAAACCCCAGAGTACTTCTGCCTGCCACAGTGCATGCCCCCTTTGCCAGCCCTGTGTCTAAGGAGGCATTTCTACCACAGGCCAGGAGAGGGTAAAAGAGAGACAACCAAGGTGCCTGCCTTCCCCTACCTTGTTCTGCATGTCATGCATCTGCTCTTCAGCTCCCAGAAGCTGTTGTCGCAACAACTGGGTTTCAGGATCAGGTTCTAGAAAATCCACTTCTGAAGTCTGAGACTCTGCTGACATCATATCCTTTAGCATGTGGGACTCCAGCCACTTTTCTGTTGCTCTTCGTGTCCTATGATCCAGAACCCCAGAGCCATGTTTGGGTAAGGGCTCTGCCTGGCATCACCTGCTAAGTGTGCTTGGTCCTGATGTCTTTATTTTAGGCAAAGATGGTAAAGAGCCTTCTACTGTGGTTTATCTCCCAAATAAACATACTGAGAAGGTAAAGAAAAAGGTCCCAGCACCTCAATCAAGGCATGTTTGGCTCTGGGAGACCTAAGAGTGTTAGTCTACTTGGGCTCAGGGCTGGACCTTGTGTCGAGCCAGCTCTAATCTGGAGGCCCTACACCATTAGGCTGAATCCAGGCTGTGCCGATAACGAAGGAACCACTTCTGATCAACTCTAGGGCAGAGCAAACCAAACCTCAATCCCTAGAATGGAAAAAAACTACATTTTAGCACCCCAGTCCTGAGACAGTTGGATCTCCATGCCTGCTTCTAGGTGGCATCTGTACCCTTTGAATAATACCACGGAAAGGACCGCTGTCTAGGAGCAGAGGGACAGTCATTAGCCTGACATCTGCCTTCACTAGTTCTACTCAAGAGACAAGCCCAAAATGGAGTCCTGCAGAGTCCCCCCAGCCTGCTGGCTGTACCTCTCACTCTCCAGATCTGCAAGCTGCCCAGTGAGGCTACTGTTGCTCTCCTGCAGGGCCCGGTACTCCTCGTTCAGGAAGCGGTAGCGTTCCCGCAGTTGCTGCAGCTCTTCTGCAGGGGACAAATGGAGACATGTGAGATCCCAGGGAAGAAGCACTGGTAATCAGCCCCTAATTTGCCTGCATAAAAATCGGACCACAGAAGGCTGAATAGCTTCTCTTTTCCTAAAGACAGAAGAGACACCATGTGCAGTGGCTTGGAAGACAAGGCCCCAAAATTACACACTGCTCTGTGTCTGTGTCCTCATTCAGGTAGCTGCCCTTCTTTTCATCTGCCTAGAAGATCTGCCCTGGGTGCCCATCTTCAAAACCTCAACCAAGGCAGAGTCTTGAGATTTTAGGAGCTTGTGAAGGTTTCCACTGAGTTTCTGGGTTATCATAGTTTAACTTTCCATTGAACTGTTTATGATTACCTTCCCATTACTCTTTTAGTACAAGAGCTGAGGGATGTGAACTGCCAGATGTCACACTGCCAGTCTTGGCCCTCTGGAGACAACACCAGCATCTCAAACATCCTTTTACTTACTCTATCACCACACCAAATACACTAGCCAGCATGTGGTCAAGAATTCTAATGATCTTTTATCTGCTGACAGAAGAGCCCATCCCAACCAGACCCATATATCATCCTTAATCATCAGCACAGATCTCGTTGAAATGCCCCAGCACATGTTCTTAAGTACCAGGTACCAATACTTCTTAAAGCTGCAATCATGGGCACCTGGATGGCTCAGTCGGTTGAGCGACTGCCTTCAGCTCAGGTGATGATACGAGGGTCTTGGGTTCGAGACCTACATCGGGCTCCCTGCTCAGCGTGGAGTCTTCTTGTCCCTCTCCTTCTGACCCTCCCCGTGTTCATGCTCTCTTTCTCCAATAAGTAAACAAAATCTTAAAAAAAAAATAAAGCTGCAATCATATAAACACCCCAACTATTGTTTCTTCCTGATTAAGAAATTATTTATCTTAGGGGAGCCTGGGTGGCTCAGTCAGTTAAGCACCGGCCTTTGGCTCAGGTCATGATCCCACGGTCCTGGGATCAAGCCCTGCATCGGGCTCCTTGCTCAGCAGGAGCTCCCCCTGCTTGTGTTCGCTCCTTCTCTCAAATAAATAAAATCTTTTTTTAAAAATCGTTGTTTTCTTTTTTTTTTTTTAAGATTGTATTAGTTTATTTGACAGAGAGAGAGAGAGATCGAGCGCACAAGCAGGCAGAGCAGCAAGCAGGAGAGGGAGAGGCAGGCTCTCCACAGAGCAGAGAGCCCGATGTGGGGTTTGATCATGACCCAAGCCAAAGGCAGACGCTCAACCAACTGAGCCACCCAGGTGCCCCTCAAATAAATAAAATCTTAAAAAAAAAAAAGAATTTTATCTCTTAGAATACCAATTCTACTGATATTTAAAGAACGTTAACTTGCTCCAAGTTAACACAAGGCCTATCTTATCTGCTCTAAGATTCAACACCCTGAAATTCATGTCTAATGTTCCCTCTTTATTCCAATCAAAAGTTCTTGGGGGGCGCCTGGGTGGCTCAGTGGGTTAAAGCCTCTGCCTTCGGCTCAGGTCATGATCTCAGGGTCCTGGGCTCGAGCCCCGCATCAGGCTCTTTGCTCCTCGGGGAGTCTGCTTCCTCCCCTCTCTCTCTGCCTGCCTCTCTGCCTACTTGTGATCTTTGTCTGTCAAATAAATAAATAAAATCTTTAAAAAAAAAAAAGTTCTTGGAATACTGCAGATTATCATGGAAGAAAGGAAACTAATCTTTAATACAAGCCAACCACGTGCTAAGCATTAGACTTGATGGTTTCAGCCTCACATTCAGTTAGTCTGTGAGTACTTCAACATATTAGGCATTTCATTTAATCCTGAAAATAGCCCTGTAAGGTTTTCTTTTTCTTTTTTCAAAATAAACTCTTAATTTATAATTTTAGATTCACAAAGATAGTGCAAAAGTCCCCAGGAGGGCTCTCAACTAGTTTCCCCGATTGTTAACATTTTACCATAGGTACATTTGTCACAACTCAGGAATCAACATTCATACATTACTGTTAACTAAACTCAACATTTTATTCAGATTTCTCTCCTGTTTTCCCTAAAGGATCCCCTTTGGCTGTAAAGTTTCATTAACCAATTTTTACAGATATAGAAACTAAGTTTCAGAGAGATAATAACCAGGCCAAGTTCATCCCGCTAATTAGCACAACTGAGATTCTGAACGCAGGTCTGTTTAACCTCAACCCAAGCTTTCCCACTGTGCTGGCCTCCCTCTCCTGGCACCACCAGTCCAAAGGTTCTTCTGAGAAGCTTGTTACAGCTGGGAAAACTTACAGTTCTTTGATTCCTTGTTGATTGCCTCTGCTTGACCTGGCCTAATACACGGCCCCCATTATACCCAGATCATAAATCTAGCCTCAGAATAAAGGCAGACTCTCTGATGCCATGAATCCTAACAACTAGCTGGGAGACTCATTGTCTGAAAGCAGAGCTCTAAGCTTTTTGGTATCTCATGTATTACTGGAAATAACCTCTCTTCCTCTCCAGCTGTCTTGTGCTCTGATTTGCTGCTCCCTAAAGCTTCTACGTTGGAGAAGGCTCAAGGAGCCTAAGCATTAGCATCCTGGGACCTGGAAGGACGACTGGAGCCCCCACCCCCCAAAAAGAAACATGGGCCAGGCAAACTGCCATGCCAGAGCAGTAGGAGTCTCCCAAGGTGACCAGTGCCTTACCCTCCCATCCTGGAACTGGAGACTTTTTTAGGAAGGGCTTTCCCACAGTCAAATCAACAAATCAATGGCTCTCTGAGAAAAATTCTCAGGGTACATCTCCACAGTGCTATTTCTTATACCACCACTGACTGGTTATGAGACATCTGGGTACGTTTTCCACCCTTATAGTCTTGAATTCAACCTGGAGGTTTTCTCTAGAGGTTCCCAATTCATGATCTAAGACCACCTTCGACCATCTTCTTGGAGACAAACTCCCTCTGCTTGGCTCTACTGACAGACCAGGAAAAAGACTTGCCCTCTCATACCTTGCATCTCAGAGTAATCAGAAAGATTTAAACTATTGGATGGATCAGAGCTCTTCATTTCCATTTCTGCACGGAGGGAGGTGATCTCCATTTCATACTCTCCCCGAATGCGCTCCATGTCATCGAGTTCATTCTGCATCCGGCAAAGATCCTCCTGCAGGGATGCTATGTCACTCTCATGTTCGGTCGCGGAATCCTCTGCTGCTTGCCGCAGATTCCGGATCTCAGTCTGGGCCAAGTGCAACTCCTGTTCTATTTCCTTAAGTTCACTTTCTTTCTCACGCTCTAACAGGGAAATCTCCTCACGCAGAGACCGCAGCTCACCTGCAAAGCCCAGAGGTTGGGATGGTCAAGAGGGTAAGTGAACGAATCTACCATGTTCTAGAGGCAGAAAGTTAAAGGCAGACTTATTATTTGGAAACTACTGTCTCTCTAGTCTCTCTACCCCATCAACGAAGTATAGCTTCATCCACTATGGAATAAAAGGAATACCTAAGAAGAGAATGGAGGGACTCCATGTAGTAAGGTGAGGTAGAAAAGTAGATTCTGGCACTAAAGCAACACCTTTTTGGGCTACTGCAAACAGAAAGTATTAAGTGCTTCTACGTTGAAGACCGAAACTCATGTACAGTATTTTACGATGCACTCTTTCCAAAAATTTCCCGACTAAAAAAATTTACACAGGCTTTTCTCATCTGTTCAGTCTGGAAGCTTAGAAATCACGGAGCCTCACCGCTCCCATGAGCTTCCTGTGGTAAGTACTAGCCCCTAAATTGTATTTTGAGTTCACAGCTTTTCAACTGTGTGATGGAGGCTCATCAAATGGTAACCAAACATGGTTATGTCCTTCACTTTCCTACTACATCCTTGTTTGTTAGGGTTCTAACTTCCCTTAGGTTCCCCTCTAAGGTCTGGCCCTATAAAAACGGCTTTCTCAGAGCCAATGGAGAATGGAGGAAAGTCTTCCGCCCCCAAGCGAGCTCATAAGCCCCCAAGCGAGCTCATAATTCGTAGCGCAAAGGGGCAGAGCCCGCCCAGGGTGGAGAGGCGGGGCTTGCAGGCCCGAGGGGGCGGGGCTTGTCGAAAACTGGGCGGGGCGGACCCTGACCGGGAGTTGGGAAGGCTGAACCCGGATTCCGAAGACACAGCGCCGGTTGACAGTGGGTGTGGGTCTGTCGGGCCGAAGCCGAGGGCTCGGGAGACGGGCTGTGGGACAGAGAAGCGGGTTCTTACTCACTGGTTATGGCCTCCATCTCGTCGGCCCCCCTGCAAGCGGTCTCCCTGGGGGGCCCCCCCGCCGCCGGCCGGTCCCGGCCCCCGCGGGGCTGTGGCGGCCGGAACGGCCTGTCTACACCAGCTACCTCTGAGGCCGCGCGCGCCCCCTCTTGGCGGAAACGGGCAACGCGCGTGCGCAAGGACGGTCTCTATTTCCTCCCGCGGGGTGGGGCTTGGGGGCGTCTTCACCAGCCCTGCAGCCCCTAGCTTGCTTGAGGCTCAATAGAAACAACCCTACTGAGTAAGGAGTCGCTCCAGAATTTGTTTTCCCAAGTAGTTGCCTACCTGCCTCTCTACGAACTTACCTCCTCTTTGTAAGGGAGTATGTCCCTTCCTCAAGCGAAGGTCTTTTTCTGCTCTACTGGATCGTTTCCTTCAATCGTACAAACATGATCTAGTGTAATGAGTCCTATCTTAAAGCCGCCCCCAACAAACTCTCCCTTGACTTCATTTCCATTCCCCTTATTTCTCTGCTTGTCTTCAAAATACGACTGCTGTAATGATCTATACTAACCTTCTTTATTTTTCCTCCCCTTTCCACTTTAATCCCAATCCGATTAGGCTTCTGTCTTCATTGAAATACCTCAGAGTGTTCCATCTTGCCAAATCCAATGGCCATCTTATTTGATTTAGCAACTTTTGACATTGATTGTTATCTCCTTAAAGCACTTTCTCCTCGTGGTGGCCAGGGTGTGAAATGCTTCTGCTGGTCCCTCCTACCTTAGTCTCTTTTGTCCCTATCTCCTCTACTGGACCTTTAAATATTGGAATATCCCTGGGACTAGGCCTTTTTCTCTTCTTCCTATACCTCTCCCTGTGATTTCATGGTGATCTCTCAGGGATTCAAATGCCTCCCAAATGTATATCTCCAGCCTTGATTTCTCCCCTGTTCTAGATTCATATATCCAACTGTTCCCTTATAACATATTTATTTAGATGTCAATAGTCATTTCAAACTCAACATGTAAAAAGATGTCTCCAGTGGTTCCCTGAGCCCTCAAACTTGTTGTTTGCCAAGTCTTCCCCATCCCAGTAAATGACAACACTGTCCATCCAGTTTCTCAAGGCAAAGTCATCTTTCACGTCTCTCCTATTCCCACTCCTCCCCCACCCTCCACCTTATCCATTCATCAGAAGTCCCGAGGGCTTCACCTTCAATATAAGACCCTCCCAAGTCTTTTTTACCATACTTAGAATAAAAACCAAACCTCCCGGCCGGCCTGTAAGGCCATTTGTAATCTGGCCTCGGCCTGCTTCTCAGAACTCTCTCTTATCAGGGCCCTTCACATGCACTCTGCTTCAGCCACAATGGCTTTTGTTCCGTCCTTCAAACACATGAAGCTCATTCCTGCCTCTGAGCTTTTGCAGTTGCTGTTCCTTCTGCCTGGTATGCTCTTCCCTCAGATCCTTCTCATTATTCAAGTCTTATTAGCTCAAATGTCACCTTCTCAAAGAGGACTTTTCTAACTGCCCCATCAAAAAAAATTTCCCATTTCACTCCATCTCTCTATATCATATTGTTATGTTGTCTTCATAGCATTTATTGCCACCTGAACTTATGTTGTTTATTTTTTGCCTCTCCCCATTAGAATGTACTCTTCATTAAGGCAGGGATCTCGTCTGTCTTATTCATAGCTTGTCCTCCAAGTATATAGGCACTCAATAAATGAATGATAAATAAATTAGCACCATTGGGGCGCCTGGGTGGCTCAGTGGGTTAAGCCGCTGCCTTCGGCTCAGGTCATGATCTCAGGGTCCTGGGATCGAGTCCTGCATCGGGCTCTCTGCTCCACAGGGAGCCTGCTTCTTCCTCTCTCTCTGCCTGCCTCTCTGCCTACTTGTGATCTCTGTCTGTCAAATAAATAAATAAAATCTTAAAAAAAAAAATTAGCACCATTGTACAGATAAGGAACTGAGTCTCAGAAAGATAAAAGTGACTTGCTGGGGGTGCCTGGGTGGCTCAGTGGGTTAAAGCTTCTGCCTTCGGCTCAGGACATGATACTAGGGTCCTGGGATCGAGCCCGGCATCGGGCTCTCTGCTCGGTGGGGAACCTGCTTCCCCCTCTCTCTCTGCCTACTTGTGATCTCTGTCTGTAAAATGAATAAATAAAATCTTTAAGAAAAAGAAAAAGTGACTTGCTGAAGATCCTAAAGCTTGTTACATGGCAGAGTTGGACCCAAGAATCTAGGTGATCCGAGACCAATTGTGAGCTCACAGTTTTCCCAGCTACAACACATCTCCAGCCATTTCTCTCCTTCACCCTCTTCCCATTCATTGTCTACTTCTCCTGCATTTACCTTGCCTTATATCTTTCGCTTCTCTTTTCCTCCCCTTCCTACACCTTTGCTTGTTCCTCCCCAGGCCTGGTTCCCAGCCTTGATTTTTTTCTCCATTTATATTTCTCTTTTGGTTTCATCTCAGTTCTCCTGGGAGAGTCCCTGCTGTTTTCTAGGGCAGTTCCCCTAAACCTTCTGGAAGCCCATGGAAGTAACAAAAGCTGCCTCTTTTTTTGGTGGTGCAGTGGAATGTGGGACACCTGCCTTGCTGCTTTCCAGAGACAAAGGGATGTGGGTGTTAGAAGAAAGGGATTTGGGGCCATAAGCTTGGTCCTAGGGAGCAAGTTCTCATCTGCTTCCCTTAAAAGATGCAGAGTCCCCTTCAGTCCCCTCTCACTGGCTCATTGCTCTTCCCATGGTGTCCTTGTAGGGACAGGGAAAAGTAGTCTGGTTTGGTATTCAGCCCTAATTACCTGATCCACCCCCCCAGAACAAAGGGAAAGGGATACAGGTGTGAAGGGAGGAAGCTGAAGGAGAGAAAAGGGAGCTTGTCAGCCAGAGAGAGAAGATGTGAAATAGGAGGGCAAGAAAGGGCAGGGGAGGGCAGAAGAGCCAGACAGTGATGCAAAGAAGAGCAGCTATTAGGTAGAGAAGAGAATGGAGAGAGGAGAAAAAAGTGAGAATAGTAAGCAGAAAATGAGGAGAAAGGACTGAATTAGTTTATATTTGTCTGTTAGGCTTCAGCCAAACCCTCAGGACAGAAGCACTCGGATGGCCACCTGCCCTCCAGCCCGAGTGCTGGGAATTACCTTGGAGCTGCTGGATCTGCTTGGTGAACACCTCTGCCTGCTGGGCGCTGGCCAGCCGTTCATCCTCCAGGAGCCCTGCAGGGAGAGGGGGAGCAGGCATGATCCTGGGATCCAGGGAGCCCAGGGCTTCTGGCCCCCTCCCAGGCACTTACCCTGCAGCTCCAGGGAGTCGTCCTCATGCTGCCCCGCCAGCTCCCGGGTCTCTTCCAGCTCTGCCACCAGCTGTAGCACCTGAGCCCTCAGCTCTTCCAGCTCTGTCTCCGTGAGGCTCAGGCCCCGGTGCTTGCTGACGGATAGGGAGCTCACGCTGCCCCCTTTCTGCACCTGTTCTTCCTCTTCTTCCACCTCTTCTTCCTCCTCCTCCTCTTCCTCCTCATAGAGAGCGGGGAGCAACACTTCCCCTGGAGGAGAAACCCATCCCACCAGGGGCTCAGAGTCAACTTCCTTTCCAGAGTCCTTCAAGGAACTCTGGAAAGCTCATGGTCCCAGGTCAGGGATGGTATAATAGTGCCACCTGGTGTCCCCCAAGGAGCCCCTGGGCAGGACCTGCACTCATGATGAGTCCTCAAGTGGAAGGTCACCCAGCCTCCACCTGGCCCAGGCTCTTTCTGGACCAGGACGGTACCAGGTGGCCTCCTATTACTGCCTTCGGGCAAACTGAGCAGCTGGGGGCAGGTTAGCCATGTGAGCTGGCACAAGGATACCTGCTTCTTCCAGTCCTGGTGGTCCCTGCGGTGTGGGACAAGTACTCAAGAAAGGATTCAGACACTGGGTATGTCTTTAGGCTGAATGGGGCAAGGGTCACAGTTCCAGGTTTGTCCAAAGTTAAAAAATTATCCAGGTGGTTTGGGAAAAATTAGCCTTTCCATAATTAGAAAGAGTTAGTTGCCTATCAGTAGTTAGAGAAAAGAAAACATCTGAATGAAACGATTCTAAGTATTTCAACGGAAAAACCCTGGGGCCCTTTCTTTCTTTCTTTCTTTCTTATCTATCTATCTACTTATTTATTTATTTATTTGACAGACTGAGATCACAAGTAGGCAGAGAGGCAGGCAGAGAGAGAGGTGGAGGCAGGCTCCCCGCTGAGCAGAGAGCCCGATGTGGGGCTCGATCCCAGGACCCTGGGATCATGACCTGAGCCGAAGGCAAAGGCTTAACCCACTGAGCCCCCCCGGCGCCCCCCCCCCCCCCCCCGGGGCCCTTTCAAATATATTTTCACGTAGCCTTTTTTGAAATTTTCTGCAAGGTCCACCTTTCTTTTCTTTGCAGAGTGTCAGGAGGCCTCGCCCTTCCATGAATGTTATGAAGCCCCTCCCTCCACGCTGACCTTAGGGCAGTTTTCACGTTCAAGTCCAAGGTTGTACTTGTGTGAAAAAGAGATCCTACCAGGGCACCTGGGTGGCTCAGTGAGTTAAGCCTCTGCCTTTGGCTCAGGTCATGATCTCAGGGTCCTGGGATCGAGCCCTGCATTGGGCTCTCTGCTGGACAGGAGCCTGCTTCCCCCATTCTCTCTGCCTGCCTCTCTACCTCCTTGTGATCTCTCTGTCAAATAAATAAATAAAAATCTTAAAAAAAAAAAAAAAAGAAAGAAAGCCTACCATTTTAATGCATGAGAAACTGGGGTATAGTGGTCCCTAGCCTCTGGTTGGTGAGTACCCCCTCCTTTGCTGCAATGCAGTTCCTTGAAATAGCAACATTTTATCAGAACACTGATTATTTGCTTTGTTTTACAATTCTGAATCCCTGGTCTCACAACAGCAGCCCAAGGTTCATCTGGGACCCCTTGTCTGTGTCATCTGTCCCCCTTAGGGGAGCAGGGTTGCCCACACAGTGTGCACGTGGACCTCGGGACACTTCACAAGAAGTCCCAGGAAGCGGACCAACATCCTCTCAGGGGCCTGGTGTTGGCAGCAACTGCCAAGTCACAGGGACGCGGTGGGGATCTGTGTGTTAGAAGGTTGGCCTTCTCACCAGCCCCCTCCCAGGCAATTCTTTCAGGCCGGAAGAGATCCTAGAGAATCAAAGCCAAAAGGCTTACATTCAAAGTTAGTGGTGGTGGCACCAGAAAGAGAATGTGCACTTCACATGCTCACTTCCCTGCTTTTCAAAAATATGAGACAGCTTGGGATCTGGGTCGGGTGGCAGTGAGAACAAACCCCCTGCTGAAAGGCTGCTTCAAAGCCCTGTCCAACGAGGCCTCTTTCTCTGGCAGCTCTCCCAGGACACACAACCTGGTTAGCTGGTGATTAGGGCCCCAAAGGGATGTGCCCAGAACCTCCCTCAAAGCCTGAGCGCTGAGGAGGGGTAGAATTCAGACCTAAAGGGTGGAGGGGGCTCAGGTGAGCTAGAGAAAGGGCTCTGTCCTGCCCGGGAGTTCTAAGGACCAGATGGGGTAAGGAGGAGGGAAGGGCAACTGGCTGAGGGGAGAGAAACAAAGCTTTTTTTGGAAAACTCACCCTCCATTGCTTGCATCCCCCGCCGCTCCAGGGACCCCCAGCGTTGGCCCTTCTTCCTTTCACAGCCCTCAGATGCCTCATAGGAGCCTAAAGTGGTCACTGTGGGTCCTGTGAGCAGGGAGAGAGGAGGTGCGGTGGGCTGCTTGGGGGGCTGGGATGCCCAGGAGAGAGAAGGGGACGTGCCTTCCAGCCCTCCGGAGCCCCGGACTTTTTTTTATCCGGGTGGAAGTGCTTGGCTCACTCTGCCCAGGCTGCGACTCTACTCCCTCAGCCGCCCCTCGAGCGGGGCCTAAGGAGACCCCGCCCTGCGCTGCCCAACCCTCGCAGCATCCCTTGCTCCAGGCTCCTTTCCCAGCACGGAGAGAAAGGGTGTGTGTCTCTTTAGCGGGGAGGGGACAGGGAGGAGACCGGCAAGGATGGAAGCGAGGGCAAGGGCCAGGGAAGATGAGGCTGAAAGGGTGAGGTGCTGCGTGGAAGGGGAACGAGGTGATGCGGCTGGTGGGGAGGGGCGTATGGCAAGGGGTTCTGGGCCGGAGCCGCTCCCCTCCTGTCCACTCTCCCCCTGGACCTCGTCCACCCCAACCTCTCCCTGCGCTCGAAGCCTTCGGTCCGGAGTGGGCGCAGGGTCTGGGGCCCCCAGGGCTGGACGGTTCGGGGCGAAGGACCGCCGGGGGAGGATGCGACCGGTGTGGGGAAGACCCAACCCGGAAAGATGGAGACCGGGCCCGGGGTGTGGGGCAGGATGGAGGGAGGAAGACGGGACGGAAAGGTGGGAGCAGCGGAGGGAGGGTGGGGTGGGGGGAGAATGAGGGGGTCTGGAGGGAGGAGAGATGGAGAAGAGGAAGGAGTGGCGGCGGAGAGGTGAGGGAGAGGCGGCTCTGACCTGGGCCCGGGCAGCTCCAGCCCGTGGCGCCGGCCCCGGCGCCCGCCTCCATGGCCGCTCGCGCCGCCGCCGCCGCCGTCGCCGGTAGGAGACGCCGCAGCCGCCAGGCCGGGGACCCGGAGCCGGGTGCGCAAGGGGAGGGAGGGCGGGCCGAGGGGGCGGGGCCTGGCCGGCCACCTGACACCGCCCCCGCCCGGAAGCCCTCCCTGCACCGAGCTCCGGGACCTGGTGGAGGCAAGCGGGCGCAGAGAGGCCAAGGGAGCCCGTCCCCCGACACACCCCAGGGCCCGGGCGTAGGAGAGGGGGAGCGGACGGGAGCTACTCAGGGCTTGAGGTTGCCCCAGGAGTGGCCACAAGATCCCCTGGTTCTGGCGAACGGTCCTGCCCCCAGTCGGCTGCGCTCGGGGAGACCCCTCGCCGCCCCGTGTCAGAGCCCCGTCCCGCGCAGCGATGGGGGAGGAGGAGGACAGAGCGGGACGAATCCTCTGGTCCTGTTTCCTCCAAACGCTCAGACACACGCCCACCAAGCAGGACCCGAGTCCTCCACCTCCGCAATGGACGCGGACCCCAGGCCACCAAGCCCCATTCCTGTGCGGTGGCCTCTTGCGTCCCAGGGTTGCGTGAAGGCAGGAGAAGGGAAGTCAAGGCGAAGATCCGTGAACTGCAGGGCCCTGATCTCTCTGCTTTCCTCGCGCCCCCACCAAGCCAGAACCAGGGACTCTCTCAGGAGGACCGCTTCTTGGCCCCACGCACTCCTCGCTGCCTGAAGACCTCTTCTCTCCACCGCTCTGCCTTCCCACCCTGCCCCACACCCTCTGAGCTTCGAGCCACCACCCCTACTCACCCTGCCTCTGTAGCACTACTGATTTTCGCTCTCACACGAAGGAGATGTGGAAACCCAGAGGGCTTATTTCACTTAGTCATTCATTCAGGGAACATCATTTACCTGGTGAGTGCGATCTTAAGGAGGCAATTGTTCTCACGTCTCTCCAGGTCTCAGCCAGTAAAGAAGTGAGTACACTCGAGAACCAGGCAGTCCCAACACATCCAGAAATGTATTAGGAGATGCTTGAGCCAGGGACACATACCAATCCCTTTCCTTCCATATCCACTCACCAGGTTATGGACATACATTGTGTTCACGCCCACGGGCGTCCAGGTTCACGAGCCCTCCATATTCTTAAGGTAAGAGGCCCTTTTTTGCAGGGACATCCCTACTTATTCTTCAGCCACCCATGGGGAGTCACCCCTAGCAGCCTTCCCTGATGTCCACCCTTAGACCAGTAGAGGCCAGCAGTGCCCCTCCCATCCTTCCTTTTAGGGCAGCTCCTGTCACTTTCAGGTGTCAAGGTCAGGTGTATACTCTTGTGTCTGCCCAACTTCTGGAAGATTGGGAAGTACTTTAGTCATTTTTGTATCTCCAGCATCTGACAAAGTATCTGACACAATGAATGAGAAAGGTAAATCTCTCAACTACCTGGTGAATGCTGTCTTAACATTCAATATATGATTTCACATGGAGTTAAATGTGACCTATTAAGCATAATGTTGCCCTATAAATGTCTCCCTCCCCCCACCTCTTTTTTTCCTCCCTCTCAAACCCCCAGCTTGGTGCTCTGAGAAATGAGGAGCTCAGATCAAGAGGGTTTCATTTGCTCCTCAGAAGATAGGATTACACCCCAGATCCTATGGTCATGGTGATCTAGGTGTGGGGAAAGGCTGTTGAACAAGCCCACAAAGACCCCATTCAGGGAGTCTGCTGCGGTTATCGGGCCTGTTCAAACATGGCTGGCATGGCGGTGGCAGGGTGTCAAGATGGGGGCATAGAGCTCTGGAGACTGACAATCTGGAAGGTTGGAAGCCCAATGGCTGTTTGCTCTGCCCAAGCACAGCCCATTGTAGTCCTGGCTCAGCCAGCAAGTTCAGTTAACAGTTGACCTTGACTGTCAACTTCTTGGTTCATGGAGGGAGGGGCAGGAGAGGAAGTTGTCCACTATGACATCCAGTGATCTAGGCTTTCCTCAGGGAGTTCTGATCCTGAGTATTAGGACTAATCTCTCCTTGTCTCCTGGGGTGCAGGTCACTGTTCACCCTTGATTTGGGGAGCATTCAGGAGAGACCTGAACCACTCTGTTTTCAGGACCCAAATTTGGGCAAATCCCAGCCAGATCCGTACTGGGTTGAGGGTGGGGGTGAAGTTAGGAGGCAGGAGGTAAAGACTTAGCTGGCATGGGCGGAAGGGGACTGTGGTCCAGGGATGCATATGTGAAGGGCCCTGGAGTGGTAGGGATGCCAGCCAGGTAATCAGTTTAGGGGGGATGATCTGACTTAATCCTTGTAATCCCTGTACTCTGGACTCAGCCTCCCCCTAATCCCATCCCATCAGATCATCCCCTCTGAGGATCAATGCAGCCATTTATCCCCCTTTACCCTTATTTCGAAAGGCCCATTAAAAAAGAAAAAAAGAAAGTGAATATTTCAAACAGGCAGAAAAGCACAGTACAGAATATAACAACAAATAGACATGTACTCACCACTGAAATCCAACAACTGTTCCTTTTGCCGTATTTGATTCAGAGATAGCCCCTCTATTTATGGTTTTACAGTTTTACTTTATATGTTTGTATCCACAAACAACAAAATATTGATTCGTGTATTTAAAAAATCTCTCTGGGGGCTCCAAGCTGCCTCAGTTGGTAGGTCATGCGACCTTTGATCTCCGGGTCCAGAATTTGAGCCCCACTTTGGGCCTAGAGATAACTTAAAAATAAATAAACATTCTGCAAACTTTCTTCTTCTCTCCACATTTTTTTTTAGCATACATCCGTATTTCATTTAGCACTAATTAATGAATTTTAACTGCTGAATATTATTTCAGTGTTTGAATATATCACAATTTATTCGTTCTTCTGCTAATGGGCATCCAGGCTGTTTCCAGTTTTTCTGCGTTAGAAAACAATACCTTAGAGGTGCCCAGGGTTGCGAGATTGGCCCACATGGGCTCCTGCTTGGCCTTCGGTGGGGAGGCTGCTTCTCTCCTTCTCCTTCTGCCCCTCCCCTGGCCCCACTTGCAGGTGCTCTCTCTCTCAAGCAAACAAACAAACAAATAAATAAGAAAACAGTGTTTTAGTGGTCAGTGCTGTGCCTGTGTCTCTGGCATATACGTAAGCACTTCTCTAGTCTAGATACTGAGAAGTAGAATTTCTGGGTCATGGAATATGTGCACCTTAAACTTTACTGATTTTTACCAAATGGCTCCATAAAGCCGTTGGACCAATTTACTTTCCACTAACAGTAGCTTTCAGGGCTCGTTTAAAGTCACTAATGTATTTATAAATTTCTCTGCTCACCATTCCTTCTTGCATTTCACTCCTTCCTGATTTGTTCCCTTCTTATGAAGGGTATATTTTAGCAGCATTTCAGTGAAAGTCTTTGATGAACATTCTCAGATGTCTTTATTTCATACAATTTAAATAGAAATGTAATGGGCATAGAATTTTAGATTGACAGCTTTCTCTTGGCCTTTGGAAGATATTCTCTCTTTTTTTTTTATAGTCTTTTGTTGCTAATGCTGTCTTATGCTTTCACTAGTATCTTTTAACTATTCTTCCATATTTTATATCTCATCACTTTCCCTTCTCCATATTTTGAGTGATTTCACCAGCTCTATCTTCCCATTCACCAATTATCTTATATCAGCTGGGTCTAGTTTACTTTTTAATGCATCATTGAGTCTAATTTCAATGGTGTGTCTTTCCTCGTGTTTTTATTTTTTTCCCTAAATAAGGTGCTTTTTTTTTTTTAACAGTGCAACATTTTCATTGTGGTTTATTTTCTTGTCTTTAATAATTTTAAGTATAATTACTATATAGTGTTTTTCATGTTGTTTCCTTATGTTGCTGACTCTTCCTTATGGTGGATTGCTTCCTTGTCTAGTTTGATATTTTATTGTGAACACTTCTTCAGTAGGTGTTTGTTTCTTCAGTGAGAATTCCAATGCCCTATGTTATGAAACATTGCAACAGAGCGCTTTTTTTCTTTTTTAATTTTTTAAAAAAGAAAAGGAATTTTTTATTTATTTTAGAGAGAGAGCAAGCAAGAGCAGAGGGAGGAGCAGAGGGAGAAAGAGACAA